TGTCATTCTAAAACTAAGAGATACACTACAGACCTCCTTCGATTCGTTTGGACTCTCCCGGTTATACCCTCGTCGTCCCTCCTTCAAGCCGGATAGATTTATTCCTTCTTCGTTACTTGCAAGATCCTGTCCAACAGTTGTGCAAGAACCTGGCTCCCCTGCGAATATTTTTCCGCCTCCCTACCCATTTACTAATATGTCCGTTTATCGCCTTATGACCTGTATGAATTCGGGCAGCCACCGGAAATTGGAAGCTGAGGTTCAGAGCCTCATTAAAGATGTTCTGCAGGCCGACGATTTTGACGTCAAACACCTTGACAGTTTCTTGGTAAAAAGGAGCTTACAACAATTGGACAGGGACGGGAGTGGGGAGGAAATATATTTTCCTGATGATTGGGTTGAGGCCAGCATCACTATTGACATCCCAATGAAGTCAAGGGAGGAAGGGCCTAAGACGCACACTATCCCCGGACTTCATTATCGGCCCCTCATTGAAGTAATACATGCTGCATTCGCAGATATACAAGCAGGCACATTCCATCCATTTCCTTTCAAACGGTTATGGAAGGATCCCTTAGACGGGCATCAGGAGCGAATTTTTGATGAGCTCTACTCTTCTGATGCCTGGCTGCAAGCTCAGGACGAGCTCCAGAAGTTGCCAAAGGAGTCTGGCTGTTCACTGGAATACGTCATAGTGGGTCTCATGTTTTTTTCCGACGCCACTCATCTGGCAAACTTTGGAACTGCGAAAGCTTGGCCGCTTTACCTTTATTTCGGAAATTTGACGAAGTACACTCAGTCTTTGCCTCAATCTGGAGCATGCCACCTAGTAGGCTTTTTGCCTTCAGTAAGTTCTCCTAACTATGGGACACTCATTTATCGTGATTTATTGCATTAACCTTCCTTATCAGCTTCCTGACAATGTCAAAGATACTCTGAGCAGCCTGTTTCACATCTCGAAGAGTGGTATGGCAGCACTTCACACCCACTGCCACAGGGAATTGTTCCATGGATGCTGGGAAATCTTGCTTGATGAAGACTTTGTTCACGCATACCGTCATGGTATTATTCTAAGATGTGCTGATGGGGTGCTGCGAAGAGTGTTTCCCCAAATATTTACGTATTCGGCTGATTATCCAGAGAAGTACTCCCTTGCCTTGATTAAAATTGTCGGATTACTCATGAGTTTCAGGGTTTTAATCGCGACTATAAAAGATATGGGCTCATGTGCATGCCCTCGTTGTCTCATGCCGAAGAGTTTATTTAGTTCTCTTGGTTTACTAAAAGACATGAAAAGTTGTGTGTCCAAACTCCGAGTATATGCTATGGATAAGGTCGTTCAGGCACATGAATTCATCTACAACTTGGGAAATACTGTAGATGGTGTAAAAGTTCAACACACTCTCGGGGAGGGTCCTTGGGTACCCACTGTGGTAAGTGTAAATGGTTCCTCGCAATTTATGATCAGCTTAAACTCGCAATTTGTAGAATCGATTTGTTGAAAAGCTTGGACCGCTTGGCCTTGACACGTTCCGCATGCTTGTTGTCGACTTCATGCATGAATGTGAACTGGGCACTTGGAAATCACTTTTCACACACCTTATCTGCATTCTCTATGCCCTTCCTGTGGGGACTCAGCTGGTCGCAGCCCTCAACAGCAGGTACGGAGATTTCATATGGAGTGCTGTTGCTTGCTAACTACATGTCATCAACTCTCAATCTCACTTTAGATCTCGCCAGGTCCCAACATTTGGTAATGGCGTAATCCGAACGTTTGCAAACAATACCTCAGAAATGAAGAAATTGGCAGCACGTGACTTCGAAGATATTTTACAGGTCTGTTTGCATTCTTCATTTGTCTGCAATGGGCTCACTGTTGTGTTCTTTGTCGCCAGTGTGCTATTCCAGTTTTCGAAGGACTATTTCCCCCCAAGCATGATCGAGCCATGCAATCTCTGCTATACCGATTTGTGCAGTGGCATGCACTTGCCAAGCTCCGCATTCACACGGAGTCCACTGTGACTTTTCTTGAGGAGATCTTCAAAAAACTAACCCAGAAGTTGTGTAAGTTCCAATGCGATACCTGTTCCGCCTTCAATACTACAGAATTACCCAAGGAGAAAGCAGCTCGCCACCGAAGGTTAGCTCAACGCTCTGAAACTAATACAACTCCTTCAGAATCAAGTGGTGCGGGGCTAAAGATGTTCAACCTTAGCACATACAAGTTCCATCCAATGGGAGATTATGTGAGGACCATTAGGCTCTTTGGGAGCACGGATTCTTTCACTACTCAGATGGTGCGTATGTGTTGTGTTTCTACTATCTACCAGAAATTAAGTTTGTTTAGGGGGAGCTGACTCACAGAGCTTTAGAGGCATTTTATCCATTAACCAGCAAATTAGACACCCCGGCGCAGTTAGCCAAGCACGAGCACAGGCGCCATGTACTTCGATGGGTGGCAGAAGCAGGAGCCATATCCTCCTCTGACAGCGGATTACCTGTTGATGGAGTCCCCCCTTCGATATCTCCTAGAAAGCATCATGATATCACAACTAATCAGAGCAATCCAGTTGATCTATTCGCATTCCTTCACCAACATACCGATGATCCGGCCATTAAGGTAAAGTAGCATCGCAGTGCGGGTGTGCCTTACATTTCTCTGACGCTGGTTGTCAGAACTTCATACTGAAACTTAAGGATCACATCCTTTTTAGGCTGCAGAAGCTTGACATAGGCTATTGCGATCACATCTTCACAGCTGAAGAACACAACTCCATCATTATTCCTAACAACGCAATTTACTCAGTCCAAACTATGCGGGTTCATTACACCGCGTACGACCTCAGATGTGAGTATGACACCATCAATCCTAGAACTCACGGTGATGTCATGGTGCTTTCGGGCGAGACAGCGCCTAGTCACCCATATTGGTATGCCCGTGTATTAGGTATTTATCACACAGAAACCTGGCTCAATGATGGCGGTCGACCTGCAAAGCAAGTCCTTGAACTTCTTTGGGTCAGATGGTTGGCACCATTGGAGAATCATCCATCGGGCATCAGTCATGCTAGTCTTCCAAAGCTTGCGTTTGTGGAGGAATCTGACCCGGACGCATTTGGGTTTCTTGATCCATCACAAGTAGTTCGAGGAGCTCACTTGATCCCTGCGTTCGCTTCGGGACACGGTATAAGCTCACTTCGTTTTGGAAAATCATTAGCTCGTGCTGTGGGGGAGTTAGATGACTGGGAAGCACATTATGTTGGGATGTGAGTGTAAATTATCCTTCTTATGGCGCATTGACCCTGAACCTTTGAACCAGATTTGTTGACCGGGACATGTTTGTCCGTTATACTCATTTAGGTGTCGCACATCCGATCATGTCCCGGAGGATAATCAGAGACTCTGAGTCAGCGATACTAGCCAACACCATGGATATTGTCGATGAGGATGATGATGACCATGAAGAGGTCAGTGATGGTAATAATCATGGAGACTCCGATGATCAAAATGAGGGTAGTGATGAAGATTTGGAGGATGAAGATGAGGGCGATGATGAGTTTACTGATGGAGAGCTGGAAGATGAAAACGAGAGAGACAAGGATAATGATGACAACTCCCTTTCTTTCTAAATCTGTTGAGATCAAGGCCCGAGTCTTCCATTTATTCTTGCAAGTCCTGCTACTACACGCAATATAATCTTTCGACATAGTACTATATCAAATGCTATTCCCACTAATACGGTAGATGTGTATCATCCCAGGTGACAAGATCGTAATGACGGTTACACCGTCAACCGCCAAAAACCTATTGGAGAGCCCAAAAATGGTCAAGGTGTCAATGAGCCCTGAGATATTTATAATATAATTTTCTCACCATCTGTGTGAGAGATTTGATTTCGAGCTATTCGAGAGCTGGGAAAGATATATAACAGTGTTCTGAAAAAAGTAAACGAGAATTTAAAATGAAATACGGCAGGTTCGAACTCACGCATTCCACTTGGAGCATTGTAAGTTCACAACAACACTATACCGTTTGGCTATCAGTGCTTATATATCTGATGTTGCTAATAGTATATCACCACCTCTAGGTCATCTCATAAATTTCGCTAAGTCTCGCAGCGCAGGCATCTTGATCAGTGTAACAATCTACCATACACAAAGCAGTTTTTCAGAAATTCAAGTTCTATATGATGTATTTGCCTTCAGTATGCTCAGGGAAATGGAACTTGGTGTATTTTGTGTAGGATACACATAGTCAATACTAACGAGCTACCTTGACTTCATCATGAAATTCTAGCTAGGATGTTCATGCGAGCTTTTTCATAGGTATGCCATAGGTCTGATGCTTAGACCTATGAACTAGCCCTGGATTGGACCAAATTTGAGCTGTAACCAATCTGTTGCACAGGTCGGGAAAAAAAACCTTTGGTAAAGATCTGATCTATTAGCTTTACAGCATTATTTATTTATTTATGTACCATATCTATATTCAACCTTGTATCTGCCTAGTTGCCGGGTGTTGTAAATAGTTTTCTCAGTATATCGCTATGGCCTAAAGCAGCAGCTGGTGGTGTAACTGCCAGTCCCAGACTCCGCCCGGCTGTATCAGTAATGTATTCCCTCATCTCAACTCCTCAGCTCAGAACTATGGTCGTCCTGAGAGCAAACCAGATACATTCAAATAACTATTTTTTAACATAAGGCACCACTAGGGATCCACACAGGTATACCCCGGGGTGTCAGGGACCTGACCCACACCCACACACTTCATGCGGGTGCAGGCTTTTGGAGGGTATGGCCAGCTCATACCCTCACCTGCACCTGTGCAGGGTTTACCCATGGATAGTACATATAAATATTAAGTCAGAGATATGAAAAAAACCATTGTAAAAAAGGACTCACTAAGACACTGCGAACAGCGGGCAATGACTTTGATCAGCATGGCTCGAGCTCGATGGAGGATCGACACACTGCGAATGGCAGACAACAACTTTGATCAGCATGGCTCGAGCTCGATGGAGGATCGACACGCTGCGAATGGCAGACAACAACTTTGATCAGCATGGCTCGAGTCGAAGGAGGATTGACACACTCATTCACTGCAAACGGTGTGCAACAACTTGGATCAGCATGGGTCTAGTTGAAGGAGGATTGACACACTCATTCACTGCGAGCGGTGTGCAACAACTTGGATCAGCGTGGCTCGAGCTCAAAGGAATTGACAGACTCACTCACTGCGATTCCCCATCCAGAGTCAAGTCTATATGCACTGCATGCGAGTGAGAATGAGTGCCGCCTCTCATCCTTTTCTCATCTTCAGCGTCCTGGTGTCATCCGCAAGTGTTCATGCCATGTCAGCACTTGCCAGCATGTGTTGGGTATTTGTGCATGGTGCTGGTGGTGTTGGACACATTGTGGTGGTCATTGGTGTTGGTGGTATTGGGGTATGCACCAATGCTGGCACAAATGGTGGAGGTAGGCATGTTATTGAAGATGTTTTGTCATCTGCGTCAGCACAATGCACATTGGGAGGGAAAAAAAACTCACCGATGCAGCTGATGGAATGGCCACTTTGTCTTGGTCAGATTCAATCAGGGAGGAGTCTGAGTACGACCGCTCAAACTCATTTTGGGGAAAACCCCTGCCTGGAGTCCAGGTACCACAGAGTCATACCTGGACCCATACCCAGGACCTGCATGGGTTACCAGTACCCATGCTAATCCCTAGGCACCACAGTCCGTCTATCATGACACAGATGTGGGGTGCGAAGAACCAAATAAAGAGAACAAACCAATCAGTCCGCAGAATTGTGACAATGAATACCCATCGGCCTACATTGCACATCAAACCTTGAAGTGCGGCAATGTTGTACATAAAGATTCAAGATAAGATTGAGCCTTGAAGAAACAATTTCACAGGAAGTTAAGAGTCTGAAATGAGTGCAATCAGGTGAAGACCAATATTCCATGATGTTCAAAATAGACTCACTGGAATGTCATTAATCCATCTGTTGTTCAATCTTCAATGTACTGCCAATGTTGCCTGAACCACTCTAGAGCCCTTCCTTCTTTCCAATCGTTGATACACTTTCAGATACTTCAGTTTTCTGCTCGCTCGGCACGGTAGGGATCCTACCTAGCCTTAGTCTCTCATCAGCATAATCACATAAATATTGAGGTCCCCAGGCGAGTAGCCAGTGATGAAAGGATACTTGTAACCTGTCTCTGCAGATGAACATTGAGAATGTCGAGAAGTGTGAACAACTCTCATGCTGGCGTGTCAGTACAAGATTGCCAACAGACCACATAGGCTGAGAATTGCAATAATGTGCAGTGGTAATAACTGGCATGCAGGAAGGATGAATTTGAACAGTATATTGAGACAGTACCTTGACATATTATAATTGACATTCCATCATAAGCAACCACACCACCAAAAGGAGTTGAAGTGCAACAACGATAATTTGAGCCATGCACAGAAATTTGTGGGACATGAGAATGAGGATGTATGATATTCAGGGTAATAGAGATAGGGAATGACATGGGTGTACCCGTAGGTGTCGCAAGCATCACCCACACCCGCAGGTATACCCACACCCCCATGGCGGGTGCGGGTCTCATGGTGGGTTGGTGGGTAGTATAGTGGCGGGTGTGGCACAACAGTGCCCGCATTGACTGTGTGGACAGACAAGTCCATGCTGCTGCACCATGAAGACGAAGAAGTACCTGTGCTTGTCGCACCAGAACCCATTCTGAAACTGTCTCCTCCATAACGGAAGGAGTGCCAGGCGTGTTAGATGCGCTTGGGGGCTCGGTGAGGGAGCACTGCGCACGAGCGTTGTGTCGAGAGCACTTCTGAATAATATCGGATTTCATACTAATGGGACGAGCAGAGCCGTGAAGCTTATAGTAGAGGCCGCATCTGTATGTATATGAGAGATTGGTACGAATATAGAAGGAACAACAAATGAGAACTTACGCGTTGCAAACGGTCTTGCCTTCATCGTCCTTCCTCCACAAAGGAGTTGCAACCAGGACTCACCACCTCCATGACTCGGACCGGTGTCACAGAAGAAGAAGAATGCGGTGGCACTGCAGCCAAGGACAGCGTGGACAATGCAGAAGCCAAAGATGATGCACCACCCACATCATCCTTCTCCATGACTAGCATGCATGGACTTTGGATGCGGATGTTTATGCTACCAAAGAGAAGAGAAACGAGACGTCTGCTCAGCAAAGTCCATACGACGTATATAGATGAAATAATACTCACCAATTTACAATAGAGACCGCAAGCGTGATGAGTTACGACACAAGTGACTACCCGCTATAAGGGTACGGGTATGGGTATGGGTGTCCAAAGGTCATGCCCCCACCCCTACCCACGAGGTACCCTTATCCACGACCCGTGCGGGTGGCCAGTACCCCTGTCATTGCCTAAATAGAGAGCATCATGATAATATGGATATTCAGAGACATCACGACAAGCATCAAGAGGAGGACAAAGTTGGGTATCAAGCACACAAGAAACTATGCAAGGCCCTTTGACCAAGAAAACCCTGATATGATAATCAAAATCACTACACGCAATATTATGAACATGATGCTCACATATTTTTGTACACAAGATGAGTATCACAATTTGTGGCCGGCTCTGTCACTTGGCGGTTTCAGGGAGATATGCAGGTGGATTTGAGGTGGATACTCGAGATAAGGAAACAGTACTATTAAATGCCGAAAAACAAGTGACATGCAAGACAAAGGGGTGAAAAACACAATGATGCGAAGTGAACCACCAATCACTCAATAAGGCAATAAAAACCCACAAACTTTTTGACAGAGACGGGTACCTACAAAACCCTCCTTTGGGAGTCGGGGATCGGAAGTTTCATTTGTTTATGTTTATTTGGCTACACATCCATCTCATCGATGTTGAACTTGTTCAGTGCTCTCTTTGACTTGGAAGTGCATTCCACCATTTGTGATTGAAGACATCAGGTAAGTTCCCATTGCGCTCAGAGACAGCTTTTATGATTGTACCTTTCGTTTACAGGGCTTATCCCATGCTGGGATGATCGTTCTACCCTTATCAGTGACTCAGACTTCGGTCAGACTTATGGTCTGCTAGTCAGTACCTTTCATTTACAGGGCTTATCCCATGCTGGGATGATCGTTCTACCCTTACCAGTGACTCAGACTTCGGTCAGACTTATGGTCTGCTAGTCAATGTAATGGTACATGACTAATTTTCTTGTGTTACCATGATGCTGGTGGTCTACTCATAATGGTGATTGGCAGTGGTCACCCAGGCTTCAATTCTGAAGTGTCCATGTCACAGCCAGTGTCGACACAACATGGAGGAGTGCTGACCCAACTTGGAGTCTCACTAAACTCAGGGCGATTCCCCCCTCGCTGTCACAGCGGTAGCCAGTGCCTGCACAATTTGAAGGCTCGAGATCAGGGATAATCCCCTGCCCCCAGGTGGTTCCGATAGTTGTGCTTGCATCAAACCAATCTTTGGCTGATGACAATCTGGTGGAGAACACTTCATCCTTTGATGTAACTAGTCGTGTGAGTAATTTATCATAACAGTTACATCTCCCCTGACATTTTAAGATTGATTTTAGCAGCCTATCTTTAGCCACTGCCCTATTGGAATCTATGCTAGTAACAAAGAAATACGGACACAGGTAACTGGAAAAGGTGGAGAACGCTTCATCCTTTGATTTAACCAGTTGTGTGAGTAATTTACCATAACAGTTACATCTCCCCTGACATTTCAAGATTGATTTTAGCGGCCTATCTTTAGCCACTGCCCTATTGGAATATATGCTAGTAACAAAGAAATACTCGAATTATATCTGCACAGACACAGATAACTGGAAAACTCATTTTGGACATGCCTTGGCCTCCTCAGCAGCTTGTATTGTGGAGAGTTCCAGAGATTTGAAGTTAACCAGGCGTTAACATTGGTAATGAATGGTGTGCAACTAGACACCTTAACCCCGACTACTCTGATGCTCGATTCTGCAGATGCACCATGCACCCTCTCTGCACCAACTGGTCGTTTTGATATATGCTGACCCCTTACTATACTAAGGCAGCTTCAGTCTTGGAGAGCGTTTTGGTTGACCTCCCACCGAAGCTATCACCTCCACACTTGTCTGAGGTATTTGGTAAAAGTACATGTTGTATTATCTATCCAGTGTACGCAGCCGCTTAATTTGCCTCCTAGATCATTCAACCTTCTTCACCCATACGCAGTCTGAAACTCGTAAGTCCATTTTGATTTTTTGGTTTCAAGTTTGGCTTACCTATAAGCGCTAACGTGCGCCTCCGAGTCCCAGAAGGTACTCGAGTTCTCTCATCTCCATCTCGAACATTTGGCGCTCCCTCGCGATCCATAGTGTCATCATTGCACGTCTTTCATCTGGCCACACCGGAGACAATGGGTTGGGGTGAAGTGGTAAGTCCGGGTGGTAGACTTGTTGGCATACGCGCATTCGCGCGGCAGCCCACGTAATGTACATTAGCTCCTTGAATGATATCAGTACCATATTAGCTGACACACTTATTCCTCACCAGTTGCCTATCGGTCAATCTGAACACTACATCGCGGGGCCGTGGGATGTGCTCGAGGAGATGTTGAGGTATCTAGAGATTGTTCTTCGGTTAGCAGCCAATAATCAGTGCTAAGTACTAAGTACACAACGCACATGATGATTCCCGTTCCTGTTCTGGTGCTCATTCTCGTTCTCGTCTCCTCTGGGGTTAGCATTGTTGTAGTTATTCATGTTAGACGATGTAAGGTGTAATCGAGAATGATCGATAGTGCGAAGTTGTTGAAGTGATAGACTGATAGGCTAAGTGTAACATACCGATTTGGATGTCATCCGGCATCTTCCGGATGAACCTTCACCGTCGATCAACTTGAAAGCACCAACATCTCTAGTACTGCTGGACACTTATCTAGGTTCGTTTCCTCTATGTTTTCGTCACTTATCACCAGTTTGACCTAATACGTATATTCAGTGAAAAATTGATGTTTCACTCCTCACTCTTGTCAACAAAGTCCCGACATCACCGTGACTCTTTCATCTCTTTCCCCCGCTCGTTTCTCCCAACGCGTTATCCACAATCCAAAGAGGATGCAGCTCACGGGTCACCTGGGAAGTTGTCTTTCTCGCCTAGCATCTCACACCACCTTCGACTAGTCTGATGCTTGGTGGAGAAAGGCTAGTTCGCATATTCACTTCTTTTTATATCGTACTTATTGATGGACGCATTAGACAGCCATACCATGTTGCACTGGGACTGTCTATTCCATACTGTGCATGCTGGTAGCTTTGAAACCGGTGATATCATCTGGTTCCTAGAGGGCGGTCTTAATGCATCTTACAATTGTGTCGATCGCTGGGCATTTAAACATCCAAACAAAGTAAATACCGCCCTTCTTGTCGAAGTTTCATGATCTCATACTATTTATTAGACCGCCATTACTATCTACGAGGCCGATGAACCCGATGATGACTGCCTCATCACTGATGCAGAACTGCTCTGCAGGGTCTGCTCTATTGCAAACGTCCTGAAAGCTCTTGGTGTCAAGAAGGGCGATACTGTTTCTGTATATCTGCCAATGCTTGGCAATCTGTTGCTACTTTCCTCGCTTGCGCCTGGATTGGCGCCATTCACTCTGTAGTCTTTGCTGGCTTGAGTGCAGAGTCTCTCCGTGATTGTGTTCAAGACTGCAAGTCGCGCGATGTCCTTACCAGTGATGAGGGCAGGTGTGGTGGCAAGTCAATTGCAACCAAAGCGATTATAGACACTGCTCTCAAGGAATGCCCTACTGTTGAACATGACCTTGTTCTCAGACGCACACGCCTGGTCTCACACCCGCTGTTCACCCAGCATTACTGTAATGCTGTGTTCGCTGGTGAAGAGGAGTTGGGCTGTCATGAAGTTTTGGGAGAATGTGGATCTTGGTGCGGTGGGTGTTGGAGAAGGCGTTGGTATCGTTAGGTGGGTGTTTCAGCTTCTCAATCATTCACATCGTTCGTTTGCCTACTTTAAACTGCTGTTCCTTTCCCATGTTCCAACATCCATTCCCATTCAATGTGCTAACATTTATTTTTTACAGCACTGGGGACCTTACCCCAATCATCCCAACGGTGCGCACTACACTTCCACCAGACACGCCTGTAGATGCACCCGACAGCCTCTGCAGACGTGTAGAACAAGGTGTCGACGCCATCGCATGGTCCAATCAAAGTTATCTCCAGCGTCGTCGACAACTCATGTAACACCACATACTCCATTCGTTCTTACTATCTGCCCCCACTTCAGCATCTGCTCCCACCGAAGACCAGTCACGGGCAGTGGAACATGGGGCTGTTGAAGCAAGAGAGCGGGTTCTTGATTGCGAGTTTGGTACCGGGGATGAAGGGGAACGGGAAGGGAGAGGATGGGCAGGGGGAGCCCGTGGAGCTGAAGAAAAGCATGTCTTTGAGGCTTCGAGAGCATGATGAGTGGGAATAGTGGGAAAACACGAAAAAAGAAGCTTGCTCCACTGAGTAGGAAGAGCTTGATGGATCGGCTGGCACAGGTGGCACGGGAGCTTCAATCGAAGCTGTTAGGAATGAATGTAGTACACAGGGTCTTCACGCATTAAAGTCGTCACTGACTCGGATGTGCTCTATCTATAATCTACACCATTGCATCCTGTTGCAGACAGCATCACCCCCCATCTCACACTACTCCTCCCCTTGCATCACAACTGAGTACTGAAGCTTGAAGGCCGGCTGCTGCACCTTCAACATCGAGAATTTCTTTAAATTTTTTGTCCAGTGCAAAAGACTCTTTAGTGTCGGAAAGCCTTACATTATGTTACAGTATGGTAGCAATATTAGATGAATTATATAGCTATGTCTTGTCAGGTAATGCGAAACACTCACGAGAAGGGCTTGAATAGCATTGTAATGGGTCAAATAAATAGGGCCAAACGGCAATGCACGAAATAGTTGGGATAAGTTTACTACCACCCCTTATCATCTGAAAAGGAGGAATGTTGTAGCTTTGTAGCTAAATCTAATGGCATTCTAGATTTATTGACAAATGCCAGAGGCTCTTTCCTCAAAAAGGCCTTGAATAACATTGTAATTAAAAAATGAGACTAGGTGAGATGTCGAAGCTCAAAACGATTGGCTCGGGTGTACTACCACTACTCATTGGCTGCAAAGGTGGAATGTGCCAGCATTGTCATAAATCATTCATGTTAAGCTTGATTTACGAGCACACATGGGTATATATGTGCAACTCAAATTGATCGCAGTATAAAAGCTAATATTTGGCGGCAGCAGAATTACATCATGCTATACTTCCCACGGCTACAATATTGAGGACTCATCAATTCACTGATGAAGTAATTGTTATTCTCCTGTAAGCTAGACTGATAGAGAAAATAGTTGAAAGACGATAATCAGGCTATACTGTCATAATGATGCATAAAACCAGGCTAAGTAGCAGATTTTGGTGATGCATCATCCTCCTGCGCCAAATTGGGGCTTCCGTTCGCTGGGACGTGCCTGGCGGAACTCTCCATACCATGCTTCCCTTGTTTGTACCTTGCTTACCTATGCTACATGCAGACCGTTCCAGGCATTTACCTTGCCATCCGGCTATTTAATTCATTTTTGGTAGGCTTTCGGTTGTTACTTGAGAAGATGATGTCATTTTTGAGATTTATATCACTAAGTCCAGCTCTCGTTTAGTAATTAGTGTTAATTGACATGACAGTATGCAGGCATGCGGGAGTATATAGCATGTAATATTCACAACTCTTACAAAGGTTCTCATTTATAAGACACACATAATTCAGTACTTTATTTCCGACTTAGTCGGACAGCCCAAGGTTGAGAATTTACCCAGTTAGGCGGGCCATCCAATGTGGGCCCATGTGTGCTTATGCATGGATGGGCCCACAGTGTGGAATAGCGCCCATGCTAGTGGGTGGGCCAAGTGTCGATGCCATAGGTGAATGGGACAATTGTAATGGGCCAGAAGGTACATGGGCCCAGTTATATATCTTGGAAGGGGGAACGGATGGGCCCAGTTACTTATTCTTGGGGAAATTTGATGTCGGAAGAGCCAACAGGAAAATTTCGAGCCCATGATAGTATCAGGCATGGCTGGCGAAAGGGCTCAGCTCGTATCGGAATAGCTTATGGATGAGCCCAGCTGGTTATTGACAGTATCAGAAGAGGGCACAAGTGAACTGACCGGTTATTCCTGGGCCCATCACATTACTGGGAAGGGTTGGTGGATGGGCCAACTGGTTATTTTGGGCCAAGTAGATACCAATTCAGTGTGCGGATAGGTCAAATATGCAAGAGCTGGCCTGGCACATACAAATTCAGGTGCAGATCGGCCCAGTGTACAAGCATCCAGAAGGGCCCGATTGGTCCTCACATTCAATATGCAGATCAGCCCAGCTGGTAAGGTTTAGGCCCAGTGCACAGATATCCGGAAGGCCCGAACTGGCCCAGCACATGCACATTCACGCAGATCGGGCCATCCGAGGTGGGCCCCAATATGCAGGCAAGTCGGGTGGGCCTACCATGGAAGAATTCCCGGTAGTCATGGGTGGGCCATTAGTATATGGATGCGGTACTCATTTAGTAGGGGTCACGGATGGGCCCAGCTAGTTTTTTTCAGCCCACCAGATATACATATGATCCCTCCTGGAGGGGCAATGCATGGTCCCATCTATCAGTACATATGCCAGGTAGCCTTGAATGGGCCTACGGATGGGCCCAAGAGAATATGCATTTGATCTCAGAAGGGCCAACTAACCTGAATATACGGCATGGACTGCATTTTATTTTGGAAGGGCCAGCTAGTTATTTGGTCTGGCCCATGATAGGCATCTGATTTCGGAAGGGGCAACAGTTGCGCCCAGCAGGATGTTCTTCGGCCTAGTACATATGCAAATAATCTCGGAGGGGCTTCCGGATAAGCCTAGTGCAAGTGTTGGATCTCGGAAGGGCTCGGGTAGGGAATTTTGGCTCAGTCAGTGCATATTGAGTCAGAGACTAGTTATGTCAGATGCAACTGGTGCAACGGAAATGAGTGATTAAATACGGGACAAAGTTCAATACGAATGCTGATCCAGATCCGACGTTGATATACATGTCGGAGGGATGCACCATACATGTACCATCCGCAATGATGCACATCGTTATAACACTCAGAACAATCATCGGCTGCGATCATCGTTCCATAGTCGGGAGTCTCGAAACTTTTGCCACTACTGCATGAATATCACAGCTTCATGGTATCATCATGAAGTAAAGCATATCCTCACTAGGGAAGACAAGATATTGAATAAAACAACAATGAAGCTTGTATCTACAAAATACATAAACCCAGAACCGAGCTACAGGAGATGGGGACCATGAACAACATAGTAAGGAAAGATGTAGCTAAAAGTACAGAATATATAGGGTATATGATATAAAGAGTCCCGGAAACTAGTTGGTCCGATGAAGGTGAGGAATCTTGACTATAGGTGAAACGCTAAAGCTAACGGGGGTTCTACAGTAAGACCAGGATACGAGAATACGACTCGACCCAAAGGACAGCTACTGAGAGAAGTTCCTCTTTAATGTAATGGAGGGAGTCTTCGCCAACTAGACGGGTGGTAACAGGCGCGCGAAGGCGCGAGAAGATAACACGCGCGTAGGCGCGAGTAAGTAAATGCGAAGGCGCGCGAAGGGCGCGCGCGAGCGAAAGATGCGAGGGGCGCGCGCGTATACGGAAGCGTGCTTTTGAGCGATGGGGGAGAGTGTTCAAGTATAACAGGTGCGCGAGCGATGGTAGAATAGTGAAGTATAATCGGATTTCAAGTACTAAGGTGCACTTATACAACTTGCAGTATACTCAGATAAGGGAGAAGGGAAGGAAGTCCGTTAAAAGGAACTTTCCCTCTATTTAAGAAGGGAGATTACGCTATGCGGCGCGCTTGCGAGCGTGGTACCGAACCGAGTAACCATATCAACTCTAAATATATTCTAAAGCCTATGATAGACTTTCTATATGTAAGCGCGGAGATCGGACCGAAGGTACGTCAATTCAGTGAAAGGGATAAGAATAACGCACCAGTAAATCAGCGAGGACATAGGACGGACGGACGGACAAGGGTACGAAGGCCTAAGGGGAGGCGCACGAGCGCGCGCGAAAGGCGCGAGTGCGTGTAAGGCGCGCGAACGAGGCGCGTACGTAGGGCGCGCTCTTGAGAGCGCGTATGACTGATCCTTCGGATAAGAGCTGGAACGTGTAGGGAATTATGTGGGTAATAGGGCCGTATATTCCGCATTGAGAGGCGCGAGTCTCTACACCGAGATGTACCGGATGGGGTGACATTGCTCTCTACCAGGCATCCGAGGCGTTAAGGCGTTGCTCCAGTGCATCCAACCGCTGGTGGAGGATAGTCTCCACTGAATGCACTCTTACATCCAAGGTGTCCACCCGCTCATTGGTGGCCAGAAGATCAAATTTCCTGCCGAGGTCCTGAATGCCCTGCAGGATGTCTCTTGCAGTTGGTTTGGGATTGGCACGGTTAGTCGGCGCAAACTGATCACCCTGTTTGGGCCGTTGGCTTGTGCTAATGATCGCGAGCGTTTTCATCAGCACATCAGCCGGCAGGCCAGGTTGTTGCTCCGCCTCTAAGAGTCATCTCAATGAGTTGATGTCCTTCCATTTGGACGGAAAACTCACCTTCAGCGATATTAAGTTTAACCCGAGAGATCATGCGGGACTTCCGAATGCACGTTCCGGAGTGCTCAGCAGAATTTGATGCAGCCGCGGCCGCCTTTGCCTGCATTCTCTTCCTCACACCGACGCCGTCGATCACACAGTTGACCTTCATGAGGTCACAATTTGCACATGCAAGTCGTGTGCATCCGAACTTTTTGTCCAGAAGGACAATGCAGGGTATGTCCAACTTCGTGCATTTGTCGCACTTCCGGGGGTGATAGCGAACAGAATGCTTCAAATTTGTTAGCTTGTCTTGCTAACGATGGACAAAATGACTTACCTGGCACGGGGTAGCAATATAAGCATCCGAGCCCCATTCCGCAGGCTTGGACTTGGGTCAGCATCAGCGCCATGGATAATGGTGAGTCACATACCAGAGTTTCTGCGTCCCGGAAGCCCTGGTCATCGCCTAGTGGAACATCCTTGTCCGTGGTGACAGGCAGTAATGCCTTGAGCTGTAAGCTGTTTTATTCATAAACCAAGATCAACAGACATACCTTTGGTTTCACATAAATAATTCTGGTGGGCCTTGTTTCGACATTCGACTTGAACTTCCTCTTCTTTTTCAGAGGCTGTTGGGACGGGGAAGGCGACTTGGGGATTTCAATTACAACGGCCCCATCCATATCTTCATAGTCTGCCTTTCTCTCCTTGCTATCGCCGACCTCAAAAACTCCCCTCTGCGTTATTTTGTCGACATAGAGGTGGTGGAATCTTGCAGGTGGACCTGCCTGACGACCGAAAAGGGGCGGATTCTTACGCGCTCGTAAGTGCGAAGATTGTTTTGGTTCTGCTACTGGCTTGGCAATAATATCTGGGTCCGCGCGGGATGGCATTGATGCTAGAGCTGAGGTCGTCAAGGGCGGGACAATGTGAGGTGGTGGGGTGGGAAAGGTGGTGGGAATTGCGCTCGATGTTGCAAGTAGAGAAACATCAAGGACAGAGGGTGGGCGATAGTCCACAGTCTTCTTGAATTGCGGGTGGCTCTTGATTCTTGGGTCGTCTGCTGCGACCGAGGTCCAATCGGGGACACTCTCAAAGGTGCCCCCCTGTGAGTGCTGCCATATAACGGCAGCACAGGAGAGTAGCAGGGGAGAGAATGATGTCGCATTCCCCGCATAGAGTTTCAAGTCTTTGGCCTGTGTGAAATGGTCAGGTTTGCAAAAATTCTGAAGTTGGAGAGGAACTACAACTTACCACTTGCCTGGCGATCTCATCCGAGAGCCTTAAGGTTTCTGGGTCGGCTTCCTTCAACTTCATGCAACGCTTCATGAGCGATTGCACAGCAGCCAGAGTGGTGTCCAGGGCGTCGTTGGCTGCTTCCTGAGATATCATGATGAATTGTGAAGGGAAGAGGTTCATTGATGCAATGAACGGAAAGTAAACAAGAGAATATATTTGTGTGGGAAAATGTCTGGCCAAAGATCTAAGGATTCATGCTGGGGATGCAACATCATTTTTCCCGCAGCTACTCTCCTGTGCTGCCGTCATCCGGCAGTACTCCAAGGGCGGTGCCTTTCAGCGCGTCCCCGACTGGACCTCTGTGTCTGACGATGACCCGAGGATCAAGAACCACCCCCGATTCGACAAGACCGTGGGCTACCACGGTCCCGCTGCAGTTGAGGTTTCCACCTGCTTTGAACCCCTGCATGCTCCTGTGCCTGCCCTCCTGTCCACAAATGACACATTGACGCCGCCGTCCATGGTCTCGGCTCTCTTGCCGACTGCATCCCTCGCTGATCCGGATCCGATCACCTCACTGGACACTCAACCCAGGCCAGTATCTCCTCCACCAAAGTCCACGGAGCCGCAAACATCTACCCACATTTTGGCACCTCCTGCTGCTCTCGTCAAACATAATCTCTTTGTGGCTGGCACAAAGAAGAAACCCGCAAAGGTCGCGCTGCAGGTCGGCAACAGTAAGAAGAGAAAAGCAGCAGACGATGACGCAGACAAGGCCATTATGACTGACGCACCCGAGTTGCCTCCCAAGTCCTCGAAACCCAGGCAAAAAAGGAAGAAGTTCCTATCGGATGAAGAAGCTCCCACCGGAACGGTATATGTGATCTCAAAGGTATGTCTGTCACATGAATTGTTTAGCCAAATTGTTGACCTTACAATATAAGGTATCGCTGCCTGTCACCACTGAGAACAATTCCGACCCTGCAGTTCTGGAGGATGCGGCTGATAACAGAGGTTTCCAGGATGCAGATACTAGGGTATGTTATTTGCATTTCACGAAGCTTGTCTACTCACTGGTTTATTTAGCCTGCCCTATGGGGCCAGGATTCCTATATCGCTACCCCGTTGCAGGCAAGTCATTCAGCAAAACACTGCCGTGAAATGCTCACAAATTTACAGCATTCTGTTCAGTACCACCCCCGGAAGTGCGACAAATGCAGGAAACCAGATGTACCCTGCATTGTCCTTCCGGACAAGAAGGTCGGATGCACGCACCTTGCTTGCGCAAACTGTGATCACATGAAAGTCACATGTGCGATTGACGGCGTTGGCGTGAGGGAGAGGATGCAAGCAAAGACCACTGCAGAACCATCCAATCCTCCTAAGCACTCCGGAATGTGCACTCCAAAGTCCCGTGCCAAGACTCCGGCTGGCCGCTCTGCTCGGAAGGCAAACCTCCCGCTCCCAAGTTCCCACGGCGCTGAACATGAAGATAAAGGTAAGTTTTCTGTTCAATCCGATAGGCTTCAACTCATCTACATTACCCAGAGGGACAGCAACAGGCGAAGGATGTCGGGCCAGGCAAGGCTCCCATGGAGCCGCTCCCTACAATCAAGCCTGTCCCACGACCGGAACAGGATAACCAGCCTGCGCCGGCCAACTGCATCGATGCCGAGCCAACAGCAAGACAAATCTTCCAGAGTATCCAGGACCTCGGCAGAAGATTAGATCTGTTTGCCAGCAATGAGCGGGTGGAGGCATTGGAGGTAAGAGTTGCTTCCATGGAGAACAACCTCACCCAGCGGTTGAACGCATTTGAGCAACAGTTGAACATCTCGGATGCATGGCGGAGAGCGATGTCCGCATCTTGAGGACATCCGAATATTCCTCCTGGAAACACAACAATGGACTGATTTTTTATGTTCCCGTTCTTACAATATGGCTTTTTCATTTTAAAGGTTCTTGTATATAGGTGCTCCAGATATCATGTAATTTTATGCCACATGTTATGCTCCCGTTCTTACAATATGGCCAACCTTGTTTTATTTCAAAGATTCTTGTATATACAGAGTTGTTGCTTGCTTCTCTGCTTTGGCCTGCCTAGTTACAATACACCTGGCTTCATAGTGATTGTATGAAGGCTGTGACATCCAATAGCATATAATACTCAAATGTAGATGGTTCGTGTGGTTGTAACCCGGGCGTCAATACAACCCTTCTGATATCAAACATCTTTTGAAAATAACCAACTAGGCCCTTCCGTGGGCCCAACTGAGGCAACAAGAACTACCTGAGCATGCTGCCGAGATCAAACGCGTATTTGCTTGGGCCGGAAATAACTAGCTGGGCCCATCCCGATGAAATGCACATGGGGCTGGGCTACCCATACATGCATCCAGTACCCTTCGGACAGCCCTTTGACCTGTACAGATTTGCATCATGTGTACTTCCATAGCCTACCATCACTACCGGAATTCCTTCAATGTTTGCCAACAATGTAGTGAAATATTCCATTCTTATTGCAAACTTTGGAAGATATCCTAACTACTATTTTTTAAACCCACAAGACAACTATAAGTACAGTGTTGGGTTCCTTCAAGAAAACACAAGTATCCGGATGTGATAAAGATCTATTCGCTGGATGCAACCTCCGATCTAGTGTTTCCTCCACCGAATGCAACCTGGTGTCTAACGCGTCCACCTGTTTGTTTGTAGCAAGGAGATCAAACTGTCTACCTAGGTCATGAATACTATGCAATATATCTCTCAGAGTTGGCTCGGGCTCGGGCTGGTTGCCAAGTCCAGCTGACCCAACCAGAGTGTTATTTTACAGACCTCCACGGACTCAATGACATCTTAATTTAACGCGTACTGCCACTCATCCAGCCCAACCCAGAGTCGTGCACCCACCAATCATCCCACAAGATAAAGCTTTAAATACCTGGACTTAGTTGGACAGAAACTGCCAGATACATATTTGTGACAGTAGTTGTGATTATCTGTCAGGTTGTCACCAGAATGGTACATATTGCAACATCCACCAGTCATGGTAAGGGAAGTCTGAGTTGATGAGAGTGACCACTGACATCTGATCGAGGACCGGTGGTAATGCACTACAATTCTGCTATGCCTTGGTTGTAGTATGTAATCTTTGATTATTTTTTCTTCATTTGCAATCTTTGAATAAATGCCAGTATCATATAAGATTTTATATGGCTGGAGTGTGTAGGACTGACACCATCTACAGCACAATGGAGTCGAATATCTGCAACACAATGCCAAGCTATGTCCGCATGATTGCCTTATGTAAGCAAGGCCTGCCATTGCACGATTGACAGCAACCCCCTCGATGCTAGCATCAGGTAAGAGTTTGTCAGGCTAGCCTGCGATGCTCAAACCTGCTGAGTACACAATTCAGACAATGGCCGGCAGTGCATTACCACCCTACCCAACATTGACAAGCATTGACAAGATTCGATAACCGTAAGCATGGTTAGTTTATCATTGTAGGCTCTGCAGTGTCTGAAAATATGTCTGCATCAAGACAAACTTATATATGGCTAGACTGTATAGGACCAACACCGCCTACAGCCCCAGGATGCCAAACTTCTACAACTCATTACTAAGTTGTGTCAACATGGTTACCTCATGTAGGCCAAGATTGCCATTGTGCCCTTGAAAAGAACTCTGATATAATGTATGTAGTTGTGCCGTTCTGCTAAGTATACAATTCAGGTGATGACTGGCAGTGCATTGCCATCCTGCCTGACCTTGATAAGATATGGCCATTATATACAATGTTAGTGAGAATTTTTTTCATTCACAAATTCTCTCTAAATGTTGGAGTTGGCTAAAGTCTTCCTATGCAAGATTGTTTTGGATTGGGGTTGCCTTTAATCCAAAAGTGCCGAACAATCATAGTGTGATGCATTCCATCAGATTGATCATCGAAGCTCAAGCAAAATGTTAGTCGCAGGTCTTGTTTTGCAACACCTGCTCGTGCGGATCAATATGACATATGAGAATGTACTGCGCAATCGACCATCATTTTTCAGCCAAATGGCTTCTCTCACAATCACTTAGAAGCCATAAACAATATAGCATTAGGTTTATATACTAGAGAGGGACATAGACGCTATGAAGAAACTATGTTCGGATTCGATATCTGTTTTAATGCAAGACATTTTTGTCAGATCTTCGATAACACACTGTTGGCGGTGATAGGTCGTTTGGCAGCGGCAGAAGTGGGAAAGACTTGTCTGGATACATGGCAATGTGTGAGCTGGCAACAAAATACAGAATGATGAAAATACCGATTCCACCACATCAGTAACTCATCGACTTCTCTTGATTCATCAGGGTCCTCCAGGAGATCAAGGAGGCTATGGTAAAATGTCTCTGAGTCAGTAGCTGTGTCAGTCCTCGAGAACACCGAGGATGAGCTTAGAGCGAATCGGACCTTCAGTCAAAGTTAAGATCGCCTACTGAAAAAAAGTATGGTGCAACCAAACCTGAGTTGCGATATAAGCTAGAGAAGCAATGGTGACAGAGTTCATGCCATGGAGGCGAGCATTTCCGATCGCATGGCTTTTGGTTCCTTCTCAACCGAACTTGGAGACGTGAAGACGTGCTTGTAAGCCTAGTGGAATGCAACTTAGTGAGAGGACTTCGTGAAAAGATGTGTATCACACACTGATACAAGCAAGCAGCTCCTGAGGAGACCACACCACGGATCATCAGGGTCATAAGTCTGGTGGGCATACACAAAGATGGGCCATTGATCTCCGCAGACTAACATTTTGCCACTTCGGAGATTTTCTTTGGTCCTATTTACAAAGAAGTGCGAAGAGTTGTTAGGAGTATGATCGTTAGCAAACAAAAGCATACTGTGAGTCATTCCAGTCTAATCCAGCGGGACAAAGTAAGGACCCTGTAAGTTCATGGTTGAAGCCACGGTCAATCTTCGAATTTCTGTGTAAAGGAGGCTGGATTGCTTCTCCTTTCGGGGAAATCCAATCAAGCACTGCGGACTTCAATGTTTTTGTGTTGTCACCTCTTGCACCTGAGGCTCCCTTGCCAATCTGTAAATTACAACTTGGAGCAGGAACTCCAGCCATGCAGAGAACGACGTACTAGCTCTCTGATGTGAAGAATGTCCTCTTCGGACCCATTTTTCAATCGCTCCAGAAGGCCAGGGTACGAATCTAAGAGCTGCTCGAAGACACAGTGTTCTCTCCGCTCTCTGCCAAGTATGTCAGTCAGCAAAATAGAAAGATACATTTTCTTTACTCAGAGGAGAAGTGCTCCAGCGGAGTATCTTCCATCTGCTCGAGTCTCAAGATACCATTGGTGAGCAGTGAAGGGTAGTTGCACAGTGCAAATACTGTTCGACCAAAGTGTCATCCATGGGAGACGAGTGGATCAGATGTGGAGCTAGGCGACAGGATGAGTATAAAACCTTGGCCAACGCTGGAGCAGCTTACACTTTTTTTCGGGGCCCCATTTGAAGGGCTGACGAGCCTCGTTTATTTGGAATATTGGAAGCGGTGTCCTCGGTGGTCATGAGAGTAAGAGAAGAAAGGGTAGCCTGGGCTTTGCCGATGCTGAATTCAATTTTTATCCAGGACATTACATAAACAACAAACATTATGGCGGCCAAGTTATGGCTGGTGGCCAAAATGACTAGCGGCCAAGTCATATGGGATGACCAGCCTGAACCGGCTGCCAACTTGGACGACTAAGACGCCATGGAAAAATAAAAGCTCTTTTTAACATGCATCTGCTGTAGCTTGTCGCCAAGAATATATTCGCCACTATGCAACAATCCTTCAGTCAGACATTCAAACTGCAAGGAAATCACATTAACTTAAACTTACGGTAAATCTGATGCGACTCTTCTTGCGGTGGGGTTTGCTAACTTAAATACCTTTCATTAGGATCGAAATGCCAGGTAGCATTAATCAAAGGGAGAAGCTCACCAGTTACGGTGTAAGGTTCATCAACCCCATCACCAGTTGTTCCCAAAGTTCACCATAGACTAGGGAGTCGGATATTGACAACAACTGCTCCCCGGAGCAAAACAGCGAGGCTCCTCCTGATGGTGCAGGCAAGATAGACCAAGAAACAGGTGAGGCGGACTCCATCGCCGGGCTCAAAGAGCGACTGGAGCTTGCAGAGTTGGGTTGCTCGAAGCTTGGAGAACTATACAGAAAGTACAGACTTCGTTGGTTGGAGGAGAACTATCGGGTAAGGGTGTTGGAACAATACGCACCACGCAACATCGATACTTGTTCAGCCCATCAGATTGCTTGGGACGCTCCATCTCCCATTGGAGGTATGTCCGATGCACGCCACCCATAACAAACTGACCATCCTGTGCAGACGTTGTCGTCGAAGTTGTGAATACGGAAGTTGTGTCGTGATATTGTTGTATTCGTGCGTAGCATAGTGAATGGTCAAGTTTTATCTGAGCATTTTGGCATATCCTCGTGGACTGATAGAAATAAAAGCCAATCTGGCACCCCAGCGGCCCTTGCACGCCGTGCTATGATAAGTCGCAACATTGATGATAATCAGTGAACTCCCTACAACACATTCATCAGCAAAGCATGCAAATAGAACAAAATAGTCAATTTACTGATAGCCGATCCCAAAATCCGTGAACGCGGACTAATGCAGGTTGAACAAGAAGGAAGAAATGCAAAGGACAAGAATTGAGGTCCAGAAGTGCATCAAATAAGGCATTCAAAGTGCCATAGTAACATAGAGAAGTCTGGTCAAGGTCCCCATGCCCAGGTAAATGCTCGGTCCGGCAAAACAAGAGAAGAGACTGCTGAATGAGATACGGGTACTTGTGAATCCACGTCCTGTCACGATGTATCGGGCACCACTGAAGGTCAGGTTGCTAATGATGGAGTGCATGTAGATTTGAGTAGAAAATACGTCAGAAACAGGGGAGAAGAACATGAACTGCTTCCCAAGATGAATAATGGGATGACCAGTTCCACGTCTCACTAGTTCTGTACAAGCGTCAAAACTGCACCCCACTGAAGACAAGAGAATCACGCATACCCTGAATGAACAGCGGCAGTAAGGCAATCATGAACTGCAAGGAGACACTGATGATGCAACAGTGAATCCAGTCGAATATGGGTGTCAAGTTGTACCAGTCATCCATGCTAGGTAGAATAGTGCCAACGGAAGAATACTGACACACCAGGATAGAAAATGTTTCTAAGAACACTGTTGCAAACACAATCAATTGGTTGTAAGAGAAGATATAAGATGACTAACATATTGTTGATGTAGAAATCAGGGTGGCCGTAAGGAAATGGCCGATAGGCCCGGGGTCCATGGCAGGCACATATTGTCGATGTCATCCCTCCAAAGAGCCATTCCAGCATATGCAGCAGAGACAGTAGGGTAGAAATGAAAATACCAGTTGGTAGAAGACATCAGTCAACTAATCTCGGCATTAATCATGGCAAGCGATAAAGTTGTGGTTGACTTGCCACACCAACACAGCGACCCACACTGGAAAACGTATCTGGTTTCTGAGAAATTGATTGATTCAAATTGAAATCAAGATGCCTGGAAAACAAGCAGTTTCTCTTAAACACGGCGAAGCATATCTAACTGATTAAAACTTGTGAGAGTGACCTGGAAGGACATGAGTCAGGATGAGAGATACTTTAGAGCCATACTTGCCACAGCGTAAATCACGATGTAATACACCGATCCCATGGCCCCAACCTCAGGTTTTTCTGTACCCGATCCTGATCATAACCTACGGATATCATAATGTTAACTATGCGAAAGCAAACTGATATCATAAAGAAACATACTGATCAGTATGTGTGACAGCAAGTGCAAATCTGCAACATACACCATGCTTGCCAATTTCGGACTTGTCTCCATCCTTGAGGATCTTGTGATTGTGAATAAATTCACACTAGATCTAAGGATGCACTCGGTCTCCAATATCCATGATGGAGCGCAGGTAACTTCTAATCTTAGTAGTAGCGCTTTTCTGAATAATATATTGTCTGAAAATGACGATAAGCGGACTAGGACTAGTTGAATACTCGTCATTTACTTTTGATAGAATCATTTCGCATCCAGGCAGCCTTGAAGCATCAAATTCTCCAATTGACTACATAACCTATCATCTCGCTGTCGATTAATTGTTGATGACGAAGAGAGTCGGTCGGTGACCTATGATAGTCATCTGCCTCGCCGAGTAATACTGATTTACTATGACATTAATATTGAGTAGCATTTCAGAATTCACATCATGAGACGTACCTTTGAGTCAATGAAAGAAAGGTTCTCGACTTGAACAAGATGACTTTGAGCAGTGACTCAGCATGGCGATTGGTCATGTGGAAGGAGGCTGACGGAATCATAAGTTGTAGAGAAAAGATATTACATATGGGTATATATATTCCCGGACCTCATACGTAGTACATAAAAGTACAAAGTGCCACTTTGGTTTGTGATAGCTACAAACTACTAGCAATGTGCCATACGGGTATTTGATATAGTCCGCAGAGATAAGGTCTAAGACAACTCAAAGTATTACTCAACTTCGAAGTCAAAGCTGTCCTCATTGTCAGTGTCATGGTCCTCGCCATAGTAACACAATTCGTCGGCTCGAGGTGGCGGAATAAATCCATTGAAAGACGATGATATACCTGCAAAGTCATCAGCTATTAAAGACCATATTGTTGATCAGCGTGCCCACAGATATTGTCAGAGAAGTCAAATTCACGGGCATTTGTGATGGCCACTGTATAAAGTTCTATCTCAGCTTGGGCGCGGCGCATCTTGGCCTGCAAGGTAAACCACTCCAACCCAATGTTGCGCTGATATGGATAGTCACTGTTAATGATGTGAGTTTGTGTCATCAGTCGTGCCTGGCAGGCTTGTTCTGTACAAAATGCACTGTAGAAGGTTTCTTGAACGTCGACAGCAACCCATGTGCTCAACAGGGGTAATGAGGGGCCCACGCACTTCACACGATGGTGAGAGCAGTATAGTAGATTAATCACATTACTGACATTCAAAATGACGGATGCCCATCTATCTTCATGGGCAATTATCGGTCCAGGTTTCGAAAGTGTAGACTGGTCCATGTAAGAGCACATTTCCATGAAAAGTTTGCCTCAAAGAGGGTAGCCGTGCGGTCTCTTTAACCAAGCATCACATTTATTTCACATAGCTGTTGAACAGAATGGGGATGCGCAGGGTCCAACACGTCTCAAAGTTGTTGAGAAAGTCATCATGTCGTGCATACCTGGACACAATAGGGTTCAGACTAATAATTTATGTGCCAAAGTTGACAAGCTTACACAGCCAGTGTTGCTGCAAGTGTTCAATGGCCTGGCTATACAGAGACACCTCCATCTGGCCCCGTTTCTTCCTCTCCTCCATGAGAAGATGCTCTATCATTACATGCATTTTCCCCTTTGATCCACCAATGCAGGTGCTCTGGTGTTGAAGTAACATCGCCTCCTGCTTTACTTCGATAGTGCACTCCCCAATGATTTCCCAAAGATCACCAGGATAGACACGATCTTTGAGCAAAAAGGATAGAACCCTTAATTCAGTCTGGAGCTGTGTAGAAAATTCTCAAGATGTGCAAACAAATGCAGTAAAATTGTGGACCAGCCTTGTCATTTGTTATGAGTCCTATGTAGGCATCCAGCAATCCAATACCTAGCGAGTTTGAGAGTTGAAAAATGTCTGTACGATAAGCTGAGTTATCAAACAGCTGTAAGGGCGAAAGACAGGTCAACATTAGGATTTTCAACTTAAGACGCTCTGTCACGTTGGTCCAGTTATTCTGCTCTATCAAAGTTCCACGCAATTCATTTGTAGCGGTGACTGAATGCTTGAAAGGGCAACTTAATCTAAAACTAGACGGCCATCAAAAAAGTTTGGCCGTTGTATCACAAAAGGTCTGGCTGGTTAAAAAAGAGTCTGGCCATCAAAAATGAGCATGTGGCACATGCTGTATACTTGAGTCGAAATGTGCAGGCGCAGAAATGTTGCTTCTTGAAGCCTCAAATTCATGCGAGTCACAGCATGTCATGAGCACTCGTGATCTGGGTGACATCTTAGATAAATTATGATTCTTCTCGTCACATACCTTGACACCTGAGTCACGCATGAGCTGAAGGGGGGGTGTATCTGGGCAACCCTGACAGCAATGGTGATCATGCAACAGCTTGTGGATGAACACTACCACTGGCCAGGTTTCTAATATAAACATCGAGTCTCGTGATCGTGAGAATCTAGGTTTTAAAATTATATATATGTCAGGGTTCAATGACTCACTAGTACTGTCCTGACTACGCTGATTACATATAGAGGTGCCAGTAAGTACTAGGTCAACACATGTGCAGCATGCTGTGCAGCATCCGAATCAATGCACTTATTGTAAATAGTATGTAGTGCACGCACACAGACCAGATATCTGGATCTAAGCAAGTGCGGGCAGTGTCAGAGTCACGTGTGATTACAAACCCAAGCTCAACATTCATTGGCTGCCTATTCATTGAGCATAGTCAAGATCAAACAAAATAGCTATTTTTCCGGATCCATAGTTACTAATATTGATTAAATGCGTCGAAAACATAATTAAAAAAAAAGGAATGTCAAGCGTCAAACATGAACGTCCCAACTCTCAATATCGCAAATTCACTAGTATGGGGGAAGGTGATGTGATCAGCTGGCACTACTTCTGCTTGGTCTCAGTCTCCAGGTTTGTTCATATCGAGTGAGGGTCGTTGCTCGTTATCGAATCAATCCGGGACCAAAACTGGCCATCATCAATGGAAGTATAAGGCCCCCTCCTGTAATGAGGGCCAGCCCGCAGCCTATCTTTGCGGACAAGGGTAGCCCAAAATCAACTGTAAAGATACCAGCGAGAAACCTGAGGATGGAAAATGCCAAACTGTGGCAGTCCTGTGAGTGATAATCAAACCTTAGTTACCTTATCAGATACAAAAAACTCGGTATGCTTGTAAGAAACACAAGACTGACCATCTTCCCTTGCAGGTAGTACACCTATTGAGTCGGTGACGTTAGGTTTATGTTGCAAAAACTATGAATTTAATTGAACCGCAAAATCAAGGGATCTCAGCCTATGGCCGAAGTTTTGTGCTATCGCGCACCCAAGGATACAGTAGACACTAAATATGAAGGAGATGGAGCATAACGTCTTTGTGGCGATTTGTGTGCCTATACCCGGGATGGCGAGAATGGAGGCATTGACTGCCAGAATGACACTTGCCTATCAAAGTGGGTTAAGTGGTGAGTGTTCTCGTTTAGGCCCATGATATGACACGCTTACCACGGTGGTTTGAGCTTTAGCCTGAACGCTGAAGTCGTCTGTGAATCCCTTTATGTCTACCCCATTTACGAGGCCATCAATGTAAATGCTTCTGAGGCATTTGAGCACCATTATTGGAATCCAAAACATTGTGACTGCAATACCAGTCATGAGGGGAGAATGTTCTAGATCCCTACGTCTCTCACCCAGTGAATGTGTTCGCATTAAGCGAGCTTCAGGCTGGCCATAGTGGTTCAAGTATTGGTGATGCCCTTTATTGACTGTTTAATCAATGACATTTGGTATGGAGAAAGTGTCATCCTACAGAGTAAATGCGACAATTTGCCTGTCAGTGATGAACGAGATAAGTTTACAATTCTCTGTTGTTCTATGGTTTACGCACCACAGATTGCGATACTTGGTTCCCTCATCGCCCCATCAGGTCCTGCAAGCTCCTCTATCCTTCAGTCATCGACTTGAAATGTAGATCTTGTTGAGGGTGCATACCAGCAATAGCTAGCTCAGCGAGCATTTCCTTCATTTGGTCCAATGTCCAAAATAATGAAGCTGCTGTAGAGTTTTCTAATGCTAACGCTTCTGTTACATGCTCAGGTCAATCTGATCAAATATACCAATACCACAGAACTGACCTATGCGATACCAGTTCAATTGAAGCCATAATTCTCTTACTTCCAGGAGACTCATTGAAACCCTGCTTGGAAAATATTTGACGTGTTTCCTGGTTATGCAGTGAGAAACTTTCGAATCAGTTCGCTTCCATCAGGACGAGTTGATCGCTCACCAGAATTGGGCCTCAAGTTCAAGTCCTGCAAGGTCTGGTAAAAGCAACAAAACACGAAATGGAAACGTACTTTTGTGATTCCAATGCGACACCATCGTACATTCCTGGAAAAGAAGGTAAGCATCCACCAGTTCCAGCCAGGTAATGATGCGATTTTTCGGGACCACACAGTAATATGGGTAGACCTCCTCCCCTCTAGCTAAGATCGGCTCAACAACTAACAACCAGTGTTCATCATCTATTTTGAGTCTTGATGCGTGGATCCAAGATTCGAGCCTTTGAAGCTGGTCGTCCGAACAAGCTCTTATGTTCATTTCTGTGAACGTATTCTATATAAAGTGAGCACGTTGCTCGTAAATCCAGTCGATACTCACCATTTTGCCATTGTAATGATACGTAGCCCCCGATGGGTGAATACACTCTTCCCAATCCCCATGCACCTCGCGCCTGTCGATGCTGCGGTTAAAACATCACATTCGGAAATGGGGTGACAAACCTAGATGGGTCGACTTGCATCATCTGCACGTTATAATCGCGTACTACAGGTACCCTATATTTGTTGTTTAGAACCGTGAATCAAGTCATCTGTATGAATATGCTTACAGTTGTGGCATTTCAGTATAGCGCCGTAACTGCGTCGGCCAAATAGGGACACTATGCTTAAGCAGCATCTGTTGATCGAACCTTGTTGGGGTCTAGCATGATAGAGTAAGCACGCGCATAACTTTGACAGTCAAAATTGAACATACTGCTGTGGTCATGTTCGAGGTGAATTTTCACACGATGATGGAATTAGATTTATCATAATGGCTCCACTGAACCCTGATCGTGAGGCACGGATATAATTAGTGAACACACGCATGCCTACATAGGACATAGCACCACAGCAATAGATAACAGGTGTATATGGTATGGTAGAGTATGATACATGCATGTAGTCATAGATGATCGGATCATGATGGGTATTACAAGTGTGAGTGGTATCATAGTGTGATGATCGGTGTATGTACCAATATAGGTAATTGGATGGTTTGGGAACAGTACCTGTAGCATGTAGAAAAGGAATATAGCTTGTGATGATGGTGGTGATGGTACAGTAAGTACTCCCCTGAGGAGTCTGGAGAATGCTAGGGCCATTATCATGATGACGAAGCAAATTCCTTAAATTATCGGTCAGTTGAAGCTAAGAAGGTGAGTAACAAAAATCGCAATACTTACGCGAAGCGTTGCTTTTGCTTTGTTTACGGCGTGGAGTAACTGAGTTCTGATCCTTGTCAGATGACGCAGAGCGACACCTGATTGGGTGAGTCGCTGAATAATTCAGGTAAGCCGCTGGTGGTTGTAGCCTCATGGACTTACCGAATCGAACCAGATGTCAACTTGTGTCTGATAAAATCGTTAACTACCCGCCACCGATCGTGAACATTACTTACCAGAGCCTTTCTACCTTTCACTGGTAGCGACCCCATGCAGGCAGTATGATTGATACAAGACATGTTTAGAAAAATGCTGAGTTTCTCAGAAAGGGGCTAAGTTACAAAGCGGATTGATTGAGTGTGGGAATTACCTGCAGTTCTGAGCCGTATCGGTATATAGCTGCAAACAATACTAAACAATCAAAATTTGTTTGATCGAAGCTTTTGAGCATCTGCTCTGCAACTTTGCGCGGTTAGGCTTTCTAGCCTTCGAGCTAAGGATCGCCTTGCTCCCGCTTACACGCATTGGACATTGGGCCATCTGGCACAGAGGAGCGTCTGCTCCTGAAGCCAATGTTCAAGTTTGCGTAGTTAGGCTGCCGACACACTTTGGACATTGGGCCATCTGGCACAGAGGAGCGTCTGCTCCTGAAGCCAATGTTCAAGTTTGCGTGGTCAGGCTGCCAACACACTTTGGACATTGGGCCATCTGGCACAGAGGAGCGTCTGCTCCTGAAGCCAATGTTCAACTTTATGTGGTCAGGCCGCCTACACACTTTGGACATTGGGCCATCTGGCACAGAGGAGCATCTGCTCCTGAAGCCAATGTTCAAGTTTGCGTAGTTAGGCTGCCGACACACTTTGGACATTGGGCCATCTGGCACAGAGGAGCGTCTGCTCCTGAAACCAATGTCCAACCTTGCGTGGTCAGGTGTTCTAGCCTTTGAGCTGGGGATCACCTTGCTCCTATGGTTGAGGCAGATCTAGCCCTGCTGAACATCAAATCACACTATGCGCAGTAAGGCTCATTCGGAGTACATTACTGATAACTCGATTTGAATCCTACACCCTTGAAAATGTATTGATATATCGTGTGACGTATTACAAGTCAAGATGAGTCCCCATTCCCGATGGATGACTCATCCACTTCTTGCCGAGGCCTTTGCGAGCGCAGGGATGTGAACGTGGAATTGGGAAGACCCGGCGGGTTATCATTTATCTGAAGGATAGTGTCTGGAATCTCATCTATGTGCTTTGCTCGTCCTAATTCCAGGCATATGTTCAGGCATAATTCCTTGGGGTGCATTGGAAAGACATGTTCGGCGCTGATCATGAGTACGTATGATAAGTAAGGCCAAGAGTCATGCAAAGGACACCAACCTTATGAATGGCAGTGCCTTCACCACTTCCTGGAACTCGGGGTACAACTCCGGGTTGTCATACATGTCGGTAAGTGCAAACATAATAATGTCATATGCGCGACTCAGTTTTTGACCTTGAGAATTCGTCGAGCGCCAACAAAGAAATGTATGGTATATCTGGTACAGCCATAAAGTTTCTGTTGTTATAAGCAATGATGAAGAAAACTCACTATCGTTAATAGAGTCCCCACTACACCTTGTCGTAGACCTCGCTGATCTCGGACTTCTTCCGGGAAGAGATCCGCGACTCTCCTGATGTGGTTGTCTTTGGCCAAGCCGATGATAGGTTGAAACAAGCACGCGAACAAGAGTTCCTTGAACATATGAAGTGCCATGATTTCTATTATGGCTTGTCATACCTAAATCACAATGAGACAGGAACTTAAGTCATATGACCGGTTTCTTACCCTGTCTACATTGGCTGAACAAAGAAGCCCAAGGAAGTGGTCGGCTTTTGCATTTTGCTCCATTATTGACTCGCCCGAGAATCCTGTGTCATTTAAGATGCACGCCTGGGCGATTTTGCGCATCTCGGAACATCTGTTATCCACGTACTTAGCGAGCTGCTCACAATGCTTAGGAGTGACTGAAGGTAAGACATGGGAAAGCATACAGTTCGACAAAGGACATCCCATCCAACAGCAGTGAAATGTCCCTTTGGCGACTCGAGGATCACTGATCATGTGTGAGATGGTGACACGAACGATCAAAGGAGGGCACTCACGAGGTTTGTCAATCAAATCTTGCAATGTGGTCTCATCGATATCTATTGCCGTCAAAAGGCTGTTGGTAATAATCTTGCATGCGAGCCGTTCAGAAATCTCAAATGGGTTTTCTAATCCCACCCAGAAGCATCCTAGGTATAAGGACCTAGTTAGAAGCATCGGACGGCCCCAGTTAGTTTTCTTCAGGGAGTGATAAATGAGCATCCGGTAGTCCTTGTGAAGCGCGGTATCGACACCTTTCCAGACAAGCACCTGGTGAGTCACCATTGTTGGATTGATGGGGAGGGTGACGTGGAGGTGTTCAATGATGGTGTCGTTGGTTTCTGAGGAAATCAGCGGCTCCTCCATTTGAACTGATGTAGTCATCGGTGGATAGCTGATTAAATCGTCAGCGTGATGATCAGATACCATGAAGGATGCGTGGTTGATTTCTTCTAGCCAACTTGGCCCAGCTGATGGCGGTTCGGAAGGCACGTACTCAGAGAGGTATTCCTCGAAAGACACAGAATTCAGCTGTGATAGGTGCGGAATAGGTAGGAAAGTCGTCGGTTCTTCATCTCGAACTGACGTAGGAATAACCACCGAATAGTCATGACTACCAGATGCAGCACCAATATGGGTGTCAAAGGAGTCTGTGTCCCAACTTGGCCTGACTGAAGCAGGAATTGAACATATATGCACAGAGAAATCTTGGTCGATGGAAGAAGCAGAGTGATGTGATGAGTGTGGAAGAGGTGCTGCCTCGATGGTGGCAAGAGGAGGCGGGAATCCATTCGGAAAAGGAGCATCCCAGAATTGGATGCAATATTCTGCCAGCACTTGCAACTATGGACAGGCAAAGTTAGGCCATAGCACACTGCACTGAAGGTGACACTCACTGGCCACACATCACTAGCTCTCCCTAAAGAGTTTGGCCGACAATAAAGGGCCTCGACCGCCCTCAGAAAATTGGCGCCGCCGACCTATATATCATTTCAAAGATGAAACTTGCTGTCAGATCAGACTCTCACCTCCTTTTTAAACACCTCATAAAATACTAAATCCCCATTCCGAGAACAGCCAAAATACCCATGATTTTGAATCGTCGATTCAGGCTCACCCCCACATCATGTGTAGACTACAAATCATTAGTAGATGAAATGTCTGATTTCGAGGATCACTCATGTATATGGGTGAAATCTGATGATCGTGAGCTAAATAACCTGAAAAGTCAAAGGGCTCGGTGAATCCAACAAAAGCATGCTGGAAATAAGAAGTTAGATGGAAAATGGTTGATAAACGATAACAAACTTCGTCAGTCTTGAGGAAAGACTCATCAGCGAATGATATATGTATGACAGTACAGAGCATACGTATGGGGAGCTGAATTATTCGTTGAAGGTGTGACCGTCGCGGAAAGTAGAGGAAAACAGACATCGAGAGTAGGGCTATTTTTTTGAGTCAAGTTATTGACAAGATGGGACTGTCCAGATTGCGACTTACTTTCCATGGTGTGACAACTTGAAAGAAGGCAGTGAAAGTTGGAGGGATCAGTGAATAAGAGCTAGTAATAAATAGCTATATCATGCAAGAGATACTACTGAACGTTATGTGCGACAGCCAGAGATTTGGCGATGGCCGAAGATTGGTGATGGCCAGGAATTCTAGTGATGCGGCCACTGTGAATAAGAGTAATAAGTGTAATTGAGTGTCATAAGTGACTGAACTGCCTGCTGCCGAAAATGACTGAATTAACTGGATTTTTGCCAAACACGAGTGATCTGCATTCCAGGAATGAGTTCGCCGTTCTAGAATGAAAAAAAACTGTTACTAGTGATGCATCAGGCAGTAAAAAATTAACTAACCGACTAGAGATCAGATTTTGTTGTCAGCACCATGAACAGGGTACTGTATACAACACTAATTTTCGTAATCGAACACATGATCAGAATACATTCCTTCTAGCACCTCAATCAATGAATTGGTGCTTCCATTTCGTTCCTGCTCAAAAAAGATCGCCTCCTCAACGCCCAGGTGATCGTCCTCTTCGTCCTCGCCATTAGTAGGATCTTGCCAGTCGGTGGTTTCCTGTAGGCTTTTTTCCCTTCCCGAATGGTTGTTGTTTTCCTGCATCGTTGTTTGTGGGGCAGATTGACTCGGAGATGCCCCTGGCGCTAAGTACGGGCGTTCTACGATTCTCGCCTCATGAGTGTACATGTGTCCTACCCCAAGGCCGTAATGAAAATGCATTAGGGTGTCTCTATCGACGAAGCTATTAGAGTTATTATTTCCTGAATTTAGCCAAAACGAGTGGTAGTGTCACTCACCTATTGACGTAGTATTCGCACCAATCATGTTTATCTCCTGCAAGAGGGGAAATCCTGTGTTCGTTTGGATTGCGCTGACCTTTGGAACAAGCTGGTATTATGTGACACGCTCTGAGAACCACTGCTGGGTCGACGAAGCCGAATGCATTAGGATTCGTTAGGGGCATGAAATGAACGCGGCTCAAAGTACGTGTCTCCCATGCGTGGTTTTGTACAGGTTCGTACCATCGAACAAAAAGAAATTCAAATCACCTGGACTCGTACACATTTCCCATGCGAACAACGTTAACATGATGTATTCCAATGACTCCGGTGTAATGGTAGTTGCCCCCATGGTCATTATCACTGTGATCATCATGATGCTTAAGTAGCATGATGTTGCAATGAGGCGTTCTCGGATTTATAACATCTTGATCCCTTCAGACGTCATACGTGGTATAGTTGAATTTTGCAATGTTGTGGTGATATATTCAGTTACACTTGAAGAGAATGGAGTCGCATTCTCGGTTGAGATGAGGTGATGTCTTTTCTGGCTCAAGGCAATCCAGAATATAATCTTTCAATTGAGGCAGGAAATCCTGTGTGACACCTCAGAATGATGATGATGATGATGATGAATTGAAATATCGATTACCTTCATAGCAGGATCTGTTGAGTGACTGCGGAGGTAGTGACCAAAATCATTGTAGCTCTTTTTGCTTTGGCCAATATGATGGTGTAGTTGAGGGTCACTTGCTCTTGCGTCCACCTCTGCACGAGGGGCATGCTGTTGTTGCCGTTGCTTGAGGCGACGTAAACGCGCTTGACAGCGCTCAATCTGAGTGAGCTGGCGAATGAAGGCCCTTTGATCAGTACGATGGTATCTGCCTTTCGGTGTACGATGCTCTAATTCTCCCTTGAGAAATCAGGTCAGAGCAGGGCCGAACGGTGGGCTAGGACTTACTGGTTCAGTACTATAAGAATCTGTTGTTCCAAAGTGACGGATGGTAGTCACGTAATCTCTGAGTGCATGAAACTTGTAGGTGTGGAAATTGAAGGACTTCCCCTTACACGACTGCTGCGGAATTACCTTTCCCTTCCCTTTAGCGCTGGCGCCTGCCATAGGTTTTCGAGCTGCAGTCCCTTGCACAACAACATCTTTCTCTGCCCATTTAGCTGCTTCCTTTGCCTGTTGATGAGACCGCGCATCAACTTCACGATCAAGTTCCTGGGTGTGGTAGGCACTACACACTTTCACTTTAAACTGACGAAACTGTTCGCCTAGATTGGTGGTTTGTTGGTCCAAGATCTCTAAGGTCAGGTTGGAATGCATACGAAGCTTCGCAAGTCCGTGCCAGTGTGCCATTATGAAAAGTAGGTCCATGACGATTTTGTTGTGATTGTCGGGGAGTGAGCCATCAAAAACTGGGATGGAGCACTTCCACAAGATCAGTTCACGAAGACCTATGAGTTCTGACAACATACTTGTAGAAGATCTTCAAAATTTCCTGCAGCCATGTTTGACATTTTGGAAGTGTTTGCAGAGAACCACCTAATGGTCGCTCGTCCAAATGGCGGGACCTGTCTGTACCTATTATCATTAGTCAATTTTAGCCCGCCGAGGAGTCATCGTGTAGATATCTGGCATACCTCCTGTCAAGTTTGTGAATCAAGTCCTTGTTCAAGGTGCAAAGTATTCTCAATAGGTGAACCAAGAGCATACGCCACACTCCAAGCTCAAATTCGTGCAGAAGATCGACGACGAGTGCAACAAACACATTGAATCCGAATGGACCAAGGCAGTCTGAAAACACGTTCTGACCAAATATTAGTAAAAGGGAGATCGCAGCTGATGGTCATGCTCACAGATGTCGGTACCCATGAGTGAGGCTTGAGGAGTGACTCAACTGCTGTGCTGTCTACACCATAATTTTTCTCGTAGATGATGCCACGTGCCATGGAGACCAACTGACTCCTCAAAGCATCGGACCGCACAAGAGTTGCACGCTGTTGCCTATTGCGACTCATTCCGAGACTGTGAAGTCGTCCCATCGGTATGAGACATCACAGGCAAGGGCAACCTCCCAGCTGCCGAATAGTTGTGATAAGAACTCTGGTTTTTTGAGTTGGGATATCTTACAGACAATTTGGACGACTCACTTTTCAGGATAGTCCGCAGAGTAAGTGAATATCCGCGGGTAAAACCTCCGTTCGACGCCATCACAACAGAGAATCACAATTCCATGTTCATATGCCTCCAAAAATTCAGGATCGAGCAAAACCCTCCATTGAGCTTGGAATAATTCACAATGGCAATGGGTTGTACACTCGCGACTGACTCCCTTGCCTTAAGTGTGACTACATGTGAAATCCTTGAATGAATCCGGAAGCTGCCAAATGTCAGTGAGTAATACAGGAGAGGATAATGATTATCGTACCTTTTGAAAATATGCTACATGATTACCTAGATGGCAGGTTGGCTTACACCGGCGGTACTTTGATTCATTGCCAAAGTACATATAGACCAGCCATAGCTTTGTGTTGCCAAAAGTTGTCAGGTGGGTAGCATCTGACCAGAACATGAGTGCAACAACCACATGAGGTAATCTACATCCTGGCTCTCCAGGAGACTCCTGAAGTTCGTGATGCACATTCATGAAGGCCGGTGAAGTGTATAATTCACCTTGAATATTTACTTCATGTTGGAGATGGGGTGCACTCCATTGCAGCCGGTAGGGCTCGTAATGAAAGAGATTATTGTCCTGGGCGTTTGAGAGCTTCTCCCGGATAACGGAAACGAGTGGTCGATGGTAGAGGTCTGCTGCAACATAAGGATGAACACCCGGCTGAGTTGTGGTTCGCAAGAAAGGTACATCAATTGTTACTTGGGTTTTCTGCCAACCTGGATCCTCATCCTCCCATTCATCTCTTTCTTCGTCATGAACACTCGCACCTAATCGCGCATTGATATTGCTCCATGGTGTATTTCGCACATCATCAGGATCAAAACCTGGGCATCCAACAATGTTGATTAGTTTTTTGAAGCTCTGATGGGACTTCTGCGCACTGCCATTCCAGTACCAATGACCGAGCTCAAATGAAGATTGATTGGGATATGGATAAAATAAAAAATTGTGAGGCTTGGCAGGTATATCTGGTTTTGCTGCAGCAACGGCTTGGATGGAGCTGATATCTCAGAGTGTCACAATATCTTCCGGATCATGGGATGGGGGAGTTGACGAGAAGAACTGGCGCACTAGTCCAAAAACGTTTCTTGCTGTGTGAAAAGGAGGGGCCCGCGATGATGTACAAGTTGCGGTAGATGCATCAGTGGAATCCACAGGTGCGTTAAACTCCTGCTGTTGAGTAGTGCGATTGGAGGGAACACTCGGTGGAGGCTGCGTAAATATATCATTGTACTGTCTGTAATGTAGCGGCATGGGAACGCCAACACGTTGGCTCCTCCGCTGCGCCAGTGACAACTCATCTTCATCTATTTCCATGGACGCCGTGCCAAGAATAGCATCAGGTGCTGAGGTAGATGCATTCTGCATCGACGAATCAGCACATGACGTGGGGCGCGTTGCTAACAAAGTTGAGTGAACGTTGGAATGCTCCGCATCTATGATATTGTCGGAAGATGGTGGTGGTACTCGTAGACAGTGGAGCTGCATGCTCGGAGACTGTCTGCCCCTGTTGCTATCAACTCGTGACCACTTTGCAGAGCCTAAGAGATCTTTTGCTTTCGACAATGCAGAGAACAATCTTTTCTTGCTTTTCGTGCAGGAGCGCTGATGTTTGGTGTAGGCGTTCTCCTGTGTAAACTCCCGAGTACAAGTGCATCTGAAAGGGGCTGGACCTTTTGCCAGGTCCATGAGGAGCTGTGGAGAGAAGCGAAAGGACAAAAATTATGCTATGGTTATGCTCAATGTTTAAAGGATCTGAACAAACTCACAGACTCACCACTTCTGACAACCAACAAACCTAGGCCCAACGTTGGCCAGCAGGATTACCCGAAAAGTGATTAGAGCGCCAAGTTCCCACAGGCCAAGAATCCATGCCAAAAGGTTAGTATTGCTACTGCAAATGATGACGGCAGGAAAAGCTGGATGAGTCATGATGTAAAAGCTGGCAGGGGAGGAAAAAATCCCTCCATCCAATGGAACCGCCATCCTCACCATCCTCTACCATCACTACCCCACCTAACTGTCATGAAATTGCTCAGAGGTCAGGCAAACTGATTGCGATGGCTATGACTTGCCGCTCCGCCCTGCTGCACTATGATCATGCCTCAAAATCCATGGTTGAATGGTGTTGGTGGGTGCTACTTGAATCCTGTGCAAATTCTGGGCAATGACAATGGCCCGAAAATGTAGGCCTGCCGATGATGAGGGGAAGAAGATTCCGCCATCTGACTTGGAGAAGTCCTGCGAGGAATACGATTTTCAATATCCATGCTGCCTATGCGCTGATGAGGGTGGAAAAGAGGCGTACGTAGAAGCAGCCGTGTACCCATGGTGGGATACAATCACGAAGAAGACCCATTGGACTGCAAGATGTGCTTCTGATACTTGCGGATACAGAGGTTAGCGTTCTTCATGCCCAAGAATATCTGTCTCTGATTGCCACCTAGTGAAGATAAATACTATACACTTCCAGTTATTCCCTTTAGCTGCATTCCGGTACCCGCGAAGAGGTACGAACCTATTCAGCTGCCATAGCACAGTTTTATTGATAGATGGGTGATAAAGAGCAGCAAGTCCCTCCTGTTCAATTCGAATGGACCAACCAGGAGCAAACGGAGTTGTTAAACAGGCTTGCTTCGTCTAACGGCAATGGGATTGCTGTGAGTGAGTTTCGTATTCTGTTTCAACACTGCAAGCAGTGTGCATGAGTAGGACCAAAGCCGGCAATGAAGCATCATATCTGCTCAGGAGGGGTGCAAAAGCGACGAGGGCAATCATTACCACTTGATCATCAGAGCCTCTGACGTGTTTCCAAAGCACTTCCAAGTCACAGGGATCAGAGAGTAGCGTAATGTAGACTAATAGAAAATGAAATCAGCGCCAAAAACTTTTGTTGCAGATAAGACTTACCTCGTTTCTTGTCATCGAGTGTTCGGGTATGCCGTGGGTTCACTCGGGTGAGGGACTTGGATCTTTTGTCGAGACTCGACGAACCCTTACCGCAGATTCTCGAAGCGCCCTGAGATTGATGACTGTCCTTTGATTAGTACCAGCGTGACACATGGGATCGCACGGTGCAGCTATCTCATTCGGCCACATATTGATAAAATAGAACATATATTTTGGGGAGTGTGAGGTATTTAGTACTAGTAGTACATATCCACGATCACACTGTGATTTTCGTCCACATGACTGCATGGAAATGTTGACCTCGGCGCTCGCCAACTGTGTCGACGTTCTGCACAGTGCCTGTTTTACACCAGTCACCACCTCTCGTGCAGGTAGCTCAGAAGACAAGAGACAAAGAAAAACAAATGACATGCGTCTACAGGCCTTGATGCGCTTCCTCGATTAGTAAGTATTAGTTTGAGCTCTTTGGCACCAGTTCGCTAATAGCTCAAACTGCACCCTGTTTTACAATAACACAAGTTACCACCTCTCGTGCAGGTGAAGTACAATTAAACTATAAGTATGTAGATTCATAGCATCACACTCGCTCAGTAGAATGTGTCTTGACTATAGTGTGTCTATGTAATGTTCTTCCAGGAGTCCGTGTCGAAAGTGCTGCAGGAATTCCAGCCATATGGATTCATGATGCACATATTGAGGATCTCCCTTAGTGAAAGCCCCATAGATATGCGTCACCACTGTATGGGTCAGTATATCAAAATCCAGTCAAGCGGCTTGATACTTGTTCCTCCTTAGGCATTTACCGTCTTGAAACATTAGACGAAGGATCAGTTCATCCCAAGTTAGTCAATTTACGTTTCTGCTTCAGCTTATGTATATTTAACGACACTGCACAGGTTATCTCCTTGACTTCCAGTCCCATTTTACTTTGTCCAAATGATAGTCAGGCAAAGTGAGGATACATGGGGAATCATGCACTTTCACATGAAGGATGACCTGCGCCCTTTACATACAAGCCAGAAGGACAAGAAGGAGATGTGTACGCCTTCGAACATTCCCTCTGCAAGCCTTGCTGATACTCTGCAGAAGTCATTCGTTAAACGCGTCCAAAGACATTTCAGACAACTTGGACTCCAAAGACTGAATGAAGAACGCTAGAAATGCTCCAGAGTCTCAGCTTCAGGACAACGAACTGGGTTGCAAAATGGGAAGGTGCAAATCTCATATCCATTTTTCTTGACTCACGCTTAATAGATACCATCAGCAATCTTCCAGGCTCTCAAATATCTCGACATCTTCAGAACTCAATGTATCAAGAATCGCAGCGGCCTCTTCACTCCTGGTGTACGTTTTGTGCGTCGCTCTCACACCCTCTTCTACTGAGGTATCAGCATTCAGCAACACCGCAATATCCCGCCTCATCAACACTCTGTTTGTCCCTTTTGTCGCAACTTCACTTTCGTACTCCGGACCATCTAGACACAAGTTCAGCCAAGAAGCCAAACAGATCCTTCAAAGTTAAGAAGAAAGTTCGCCAGACACTCATTCCCAACGCTCATATGGACCTCTTCTCTGCGAGGCGCTGAACGAGTTAAACTTGATATCACCTATCCTTGCTCCAATGCTAGTTCTCAGGGCATTTTTGTTTTGACGGTCAGCATCATTGGACTCAGGTCCATAGCTTCCATCGATTTTGCGTCTCCCTGTGCCCTTGAAGACCACTGAATTTATTACCTGCTTAGTACCTTGTTACACAGCATGCGAAACTGGCTCGCGGTGGAGCTTTGAGTTGCTCATGCAGCTCAAATACCACGAGAAGCAGAAGCTTATTCTCATTGTTTATGGTGTGGGCATTGTTTGATTTGTCCCACGTGTATCGTGCTTGATCCTAGTATTGATTCTAAGCTTTTTAGTTTCATGTTGTCAAACATGCCGGGTATACTTGACCTGCTCCAATGCACTGGGCATTTAATTTCTCATGAGGTCGTGGTGGATGTAGTGCTCGCAGCTTGGAAGTCATCATGCTTACTAGGTCTACAAAGTTAATGAATGAAAACTGGGCAATGGTCTGGAAATATCATCTTTGATGGGAAACACCAAGCTCACATTAAATCAGCATTTGGAATAGACTGCCTGGTGCGGAGCAACTACTAGAGAGGGGGATGACACAAGGAGTTGGTTTCGACATCTGAAGGTATAAGATCAGGCTGCTTGCCAGTCGCTGAAGGTCATATTCCGCTCTAACGGGAAAGTCCACATCGATGTAAATCACCACTGAGTACTGAGTACTGAGGCCTGAGGTATGATTGCTCACAAATTTCGTCGCTTCGTATAACCCGACCTTATGGAAGATGCACAATCCGAATGAATTGAGATTACTCTATTGAATCTGGATTCACGGTCTCTGGTTGAGAGAAAGATGGGTGAAGGTCTCGAGAATCGAGATTGCATTAATTACTAGTAAGTTCTGATCAATTTTGAGTACTTGCTGAATCATACAGTAACATACAACCGGGTCAAACACGCTCACATGACACGAGCAAAACACAATGTAACAATGAACTCAAAGATTTCTTCTCCAACGTCAATCTTAAGTCTCTATACTTTGCCAGTCAAAATATAGCTCCGTCGACTAACGCGTTTAATTTTTGACAGTATGTACAGCCTTCCTCTCCCGGTTCAAACAAATAATCTGCTGCTACACAGATTCCATCTTAGCGAAAATTCTCTTGCTCCGGTTGTCATGGTTCGTACCGTCTGCAAGTCTGGCAAGTCTACAGGAGGACCTGCGAACCGTAGTGTGCTACCTGGCCCCTTCAAACTTGTTTCTGGTCTCCGTGGTGAACAGGTCATCAAAAGTGTATATCATAAGCCATTGCCACATGGGATGGAAGAGGCAATATCGACTAGAGAAAAAGACATTCTCATTCCTCAATTCTGGAACCACGTAGGCGCACGCGACTCCTTCTCGTATATTTTACTAATTCTCGGCAGTGGTGTTTGTTCTGCCATGATGGCGGTCCACAAATGTATGAATGCTCACATTGCCCACGCACAGTGTGCGCGCGCTGCATTGTCATCCTGGAAGAGTCGCTGGACTACATCAAAAAAGGCGATGTCTTTTTCAGATGCCCCAGATGCCACGAAGTTCATGATAGAAATGCTGGAAAAGGTATCATCACACCATATTTTGTAAGTTTACCGGTCTGCAGCCTCCACTTTTTCTTCTTATTACCATCAGGGCTTTGAAGATGCTCAAGGAAAGGCCGTGCTGGCAACACCTGCCACTATCCATGGCCACATTGAGTTGACCAGTCGGTCAGAGGTATGCACCCTCCCCATCCTCATTCTCAACTTTGTCCTTGCCAGTGTCGATATCTTCGGGTCACCCGCATGTGCCATGTGAGATGGGCTGCATCCATACGTTGCTCCAGATTACTATGAAATTGTGTTCGACGTTGGAACACTTTCCAAGGTCAAGCAGCACGCCAAGGCAATGGAGAAGCTCACGCAAGACATAGGACTGCATCAGTTTGCTCGTGTCAAAGTATGTGTCCACTCCCACTCCGATACAAACTGCAGCGACCTCTGGGCTGGGTTCGAGACCTCAAACATTAAAGGCGAACATGAGGGGCCTGTCGCCTACTCACTCGACGATGTAAGTTGGCTTCTGTTTTCAATTGTTTTGTGGCCTTACTCTTCGCAGTTTTTCACCACAGTTTTCCCCAGTAGCATAGCAGGCTATCTCAAGGGAGCCACGCTGTGGATGTTGGTATGTGGGCATATGGTACGTGAAATTGATGTTTTCAATGACTTCAAAGCCTGTGTAAGACGGTGCGTACATTACCACAACTTTGCTGCCTCGCGCTGAAATACTACAATACAATTATGAAATTCAGCACGCATTTGCATTTGATGCTGAACGCTTCCATGCATGCCTTGTTCCACCGTTCATCTTCGCATATGTGGAACGTGTTCTTGTCGAGGGCTTCGAGGTTGAAGAGGCCATCGAAGATCTTCTCAAAGCGGCTCCTCGACTTGGGATGCATACATCCATAATTCACATCCGTGTTACAAACATTTTCCGTCATCACCCTCCTACTGTCTCCGAATACAACAAAGGAGCCATGCACATGGACGATAAGGCCTCCATGATTGTGACCACATACAAGTTCTTTCATGAGAATCAGCGTCCTTGGGGAAATCCACTGCCCTATCAGTGTCCGCGTTGTTACTGTGTTCACTCTTGGGGCTCTACAACCCGCCCTATGTCCAGCAATACCCAATTCGCTTGCAAGCAATGCGGATTCATCATCACCTATACAAAGCTCGACCACTCAAAAATTATCCTGTACCACGAGGGATATCGGGGGACCAGCGAAGTGAGTGGTAAGCTAACGAAAAAAGGCCTCGGTACTGGTTCTGGGTGGTTGGTAGTGGTAGCAGTCGAGCCTGACGGGGTGCTAGCCCTTGCTCAATCAGTTAGCCACTCCACCCAGGAACATTGATCGATCATTCAATGAGTCTTTTTTTATATGTACATGTTAATCTACTTGAATGCCTTGCTGAATACGCATTGATAACTCATCGCATAGCCCCACAATATCTGTTGAATCTGCGTGTAAATCTAAACCTACTGCAGCGCAATTGACTATCCGATGTCGCGGTGCGGCTCTTCCTCCTGCCAACCAGTCCCAGCCTGATATCCCTCAACCATGAGGGAGTCCATCTGAATCGGGATTCGAGACGATACACAATCGAAGGACGACGGAGCCTGTTTCTGAGGTTGTGAAATGAGTTTGATCAGTACACTATTACACAGATTTCAGTCTGAAGCATCAATTATAATACCTATTTATTCGAGCTGATATCATGCAACGTCATAAATAATCCAACAAGATATATATATTCTTGTCCCCGGCAGCTCGCACTGTTACATCACTTTATCGTATGCCAATCACATTTACAATGCACTATACGTACCTCCGTCGAAACTGTACTTTCCTGCCCCCTTGGCACCATTTTGCTCACTGTATAGTACTTTGTCATACAATAATCAGATTGGCACTTTTCAGTCAGAATTGTAATTTTCTTGCAATTTCTTGTCTCCTCAAGCCATTTTGCTCTTCAGTGTATATTAAATTGTGTATGCTAATCATTCTTCCGAGATATTGCATATCTCCATCAGAGTTGTAGGCTACTGATAAATTGACACCATTTTTATCTTGCCCGTATATTACTTGGTCATTACTTGTGAGATGTTACATTTTCCATCAGAATTGTAATTTGCTTGCATTTTCTTGTCGCTGGATGTCATTTTGCTTGTCTGTGCACAATACTTTGTCATGAGATATATTATTGTGTAATATTGTCAATTTTTTGTTAGACTTTGCCAACACCATCTATAAAAAGCAGGTGCACCCCGATTCTGTGATGACATGGGGTCTCAGACCTAAATAACAACAGACTTCCTCGTCGATGAGCTTGTTAGCACAAAGAACGCATACACCTAAGTGGTAGAGTAGCTCACTACTAAAAATACGAAAGACGCAGAAAATACAGGCTGAAATGGGTGAGCATATTCAGCAAGCTCGAATAACAAGCGCTATCTATATGACTCGCACAACTATCAGTAGGTCTAAGCTTCATCTGGCTGGCTGGCTATCTCACTGCCTCCGGGTCGCGCTTTGAATGTACGTGGACGGGATAGTAATTCCATTGAAGTCGTCGATTGGTCAGTGAGCAAGAGTGGTCGCTCCGCGCTTACTTGAAGATTGAACAGTATTCGAGAAGCAAGAACACTGTGCGCAACAATCTGAGGTCTAGAATGAGGAATGTGAGCTTTCGACAACCTATATAATCGAGCAGACTAACACGTTTAGCGTTTCGCTGTAAGAGAGCTAGGAAGTCTACTCAGTTCTTGAGGTCAACAAAACAAAGAAAGAACTCACGGGCAACACAGCAATAATGATCACATTGACCATAGATATCACTACAGAGATGTCAGCGCGAAATCAATAGTAACAATGGTGTTAATACTCATGATGCAGAACATGTAGAGTAGTCCGTCACGATAGATACTCCTCACCAACGCGCTATGAGAACCCAAATAGTGTCGATATCTCAAACATACAGTGGTGGACATGAGAACTAGAAGTGAATTAGAATTATCAAGTGGGGAATTTTGAATAGAATAGTCGCCCCACCTATCTCGAAAAACATCAAGACTCCATAAGGGAGGGCACTGCTACGAGCCCCTTCGAACACACAAGGGGGGCCAACTGAAAGGAGATGAATACTAAGACTGAGAAGCGAGCTTTTGAGACCTTGCCTCCTGGGATGTTGAAATTAATGGGGGCAGCACTTAGAATCGCACACGTCACCAAGATGGCCTGCGCATACAGGTCAGCGGTGCACAGTGGAATGGAGATATTGTTGTACCAAACCAAATGAGAGAAGAATGATAAGATAAGTCTTTTTATTGCCAGAGAAGGCATAGACCCTGAAAATCAATAGACCTGTTGTGCGAGCATAAATGCGTACTTTAACGTGAAGTGCGAAAACCAACCTTCCGAGGCAATTATGCCCAAGAAGTGTATGCCTGCGAAATGTCATCGCCAAGTCATGTCATGAGCTATGTGGACCAACCATTTACAGCATCGTTAAAAGGTGCACACTATATGTTGATATGAGTTGCAATTGGCGCTGCACAAATCAATGGTGTACTCACATCTTGCGTGCCCCATGTCTTGATCGCGGCTGGTCAGGAATCAGCTTTTGCGTAGTAGCGCGCACCGGCGTGTCTTACAGTACGAGGTCATAAGCGCACCAGCAAAAGGTGCATATCGTGAAATCGTGAACGTAGTCCGGATGATTCCCCACTTTCGTCCCCAAGTCCATTGGACCTACAATAAATATCAGCACCAAGGTACGAGTGGCTGATTATTCTGACTTCGGAATGTAAGGTGACAAAGTAGTCATAAATCTGGTCATATATTAGAGCAATAATGAGACTGAAGAGACGCAACTTACTAGGATTGCTGATGCAGCAACTTTGGAGAGTTGTGAATAACGATAAGATTGTTACCAGCCCGACCTTACCGTTAGTGTACTTGAATAGTCGTAGAGATTAGAGAGAGGTTGCTCAAAAAGCACGGTTGGATTACCTTGGCTAACTGTAAACCGAAAGTATCTGGGGCTGACATTCTCGAGCGGCACAATGGATAAATGGAGGTCTGCAGCAAGCAGTTGCCAATAAGTAGTGCTGTAGCGAGTTGCACTGCAACACGGCTGTGGTCGTCGATGGCAAGTGTCGACTCAGGAGTCAGGTGCAGTTACCTAAAGCGCGAGGGTGTTTTTGATCATTATGATACTATGATGCCATGGACATTAATGGGCGCACTGCGCATGATCAGATTCATAAGTATTTTAAGCCTGCGCACCAGTCGTTTTGTTGATCATGAGAGTGGATACTACTTAAATCAAATGCTGCGCTATAGTAGTATTAGTATTCGTGGCTCGATTATGTAAGTAGAACCTCAAATCTCATGATTCGGGTCGCGGGCCAGGCCTCAGGGTCAGTGGGCCAGGGAGGATGTCACTGTCGACCCAATCAATTGCAGGAGTACTAGTGCAGTGTATGTGAGCATCGAAATCATCGGGGAATTCCCTTTTGGCATGGTAACCTTTCTTTGGCCGCAGAGCGCATCACGGAAACAAGGTCTTTGTGCGCTGAGATGGGCAGTGCTTCAAGATTTGTACGGTTGCTCGCCATTTAATACTTTACCAGACAAATCGGATTCAAAGGATGGTGATTATTCCTGGAAGGTCTGTTGCCATTTGCAAATGATAATACGTCAGCCTGCGATTGTATTTTATGAGCAGTGTATCGTATCCATGGCCGCGCAAGGCAGTGTGAGACAAACATCAGATGTACGCACAGCTTTGAAGATCTCGTGTTAGTCCTGTTAATTTATGTGTGAGCACCAGCTTATCGCACATTCCAAGTCCTCTTCATGCCCTTGAATCACTGCAGCCAAGTTTCCTGCAATTCGCCAAGTTGGCTATTGGCTCGCCCACCCAGAGGTTACTGACTCCGATCCTCGAGTTGATCGGATGTGTACTTCGCGCCGCCTTATGTTCTCATTCAGTTCCTCGTGGATTGTATCACTCAGGTTCAAATCTCCAGCGTTGGTTCGCCATGGCAAGGATCTGGGAAGTATGCAACAAGGCTTGTGGCGAGGAGTCGTGTGGATAGATGGATTGCCTGAGAGACCTTGGGTATACCTGTTCGTTGGGGGATTCAGTGTGTCTGGGAGAGAGGAAGATGGAAGAAACATACGGATATCAGCTCTCCCGAACAATGGAGTAAGGTTGATGGTCTTTTAGTCGAGGATGCGAATGGATTTGGCTTCAAGTCGGAAATAACAGAAGAAGGCTATAGAAGGGGAGCATGTGTTGGAATGGCATGTGCTGAAGACGAGATCTAGATAGCAGCTGATGATGTGACATTGAATGAGAAGAGTCGATACGTGGTTCTAATCAGAGGGCTAGCTAAGCTGTTCGACTGAGTATCATGTATGATGTATCTTGAGAAGGCCAGACTGCTCACTACAGTAGGCTCCTTTTTGTGTTTTTATTCAACAACCTGCGTGAACCGCTAAGGTGGTGCATGGTCTTCTTTTGTACACGTACGAGAAAGTGAATTATATAAAATTTCTTCGGATGATCGGAGTATGATCGATCGATCATCGACTCGCCGGAAGCAAAGAGTGTGTCCTACTAGTAGTAGTTTCAACATATTGGACGCGACGCCGCAGTACCACGGTCATGAAATTTCGAAAACTCGGTGCGAGCGTGGTCACTAATCAACTAACAGAGAGCTACTCGTTAGGCTTCCCCCTGGCAAGAAGCAGAGGATGGTATCAGGCGCCGGGACGTTATACATTTATGCTGTGCTGTTTCTCACCGTCGACACAAATGGCTTGCATCCAAGTCAAGGCAAGCAGAGACGCTCACTCAATAATCGACTGAAACCCAATGGAATACAGTCCAGGATCTACCACACGACTTCAGCCTGAGGTGATGCCATCCAAAAGCCCAAAGTCAAGAAAATCCAAAGAATCGAAGGTAAGAAGGAACATCTTTGGGCGTCACTGTTTGATCTAACATCATGATAGAACAACCCACATACTAAACAACCCACTTCTGAAATCAAGGAGTCCCAGGCCGAAAATATGAGCCAACTGCTGGATGTCACTATAGCAGGCATCAGTGCCGTACAAATCGTCGTACCTAGTGACCTGGCGAAAGGTGTACTCGGAACAGTCGTCAGTATTCTGATGACTGTGCAGGTGCGTCGGTGTCACTCTCTTGAAAATGAGGTTAAAAAATCCTCACGTCCGTATAGTCGGTGATCAAGAACAAGTCCGCTTTCCTGGCGCTAGTCAACAAATGCAAGACCATCGGGGAAATTCTCGAGAGAGCAACCAAAGACACTACCGACGAC